ATGGCTTGCAATTGGTGCTTTTCACTTCTGGGGTTTGGCAGAGCTGAGGTAATTGTGAAAATTAGCTTAAAACAAAGGAGAAGCATGGCATCCCCTGCTCCATTTGTTGTACTGGCACTAAATGCTTGTAAGAAGTGCAAGAGCTGCAAAGTGTATGTCCTGTCACATAAAACTGCTGCTGGACTAATTTCACAGTAACTGTAAAATGATTAGTTGTGCTTGCCTTTGAGAGTTTTACATACTTAACTCTAATTAAGTAGTGATTCCTCATGACCCCTGGAGTATGGTTGTTCTTTTGAATTTGGCCAAGCCTGCTGTTAAAAAGATGCACCTTGGGGTCCTGAATTCCCCAGCTCTGGTTTTAGTGGCTGTTAGTGCAATGTGGCAGCTGGCGTGCCTGTGTCTGATGGCAGATTATGACAATGCACAGAGATGAGTGGCACTGTCTCAATTATAAGAGGAATCAGACCTAGAGGAATATCCCTGTGCTAGTCGAGAAATGAGGCTCTCAAGTTTTCGTAGACATGCACAGCATTAATTCCTTTACCTTAATCCCTCGCTTACAAAGTTAATTTTGCTATTTAAATAGTTTTTGCTCTCTTGAACCATGTCAAAACACAAATCAGAACATGCTTTCAACAGCAGAAGAGCATCTTTGTCCATTCTGTCACTGAAAGGGAAAAGTGTGTGTGAAAATGAGAAATGGTGAAATAATATTAGAAGGTCTACAGTACTTCCTGAAATTTTCATATGTGAATTTTTTTGGAGGTCTTAGCAATGTTTGGGACAAAACTTAATTTGTGCAAACTGTTTGCTAATCCCTAGTCTAGACACTCACATTTCCAGTGCCTATTAATCTTTTTTATCTTCATTTCTGCTTTAATGTAGTGCTTTTTTTTTTTATTTTTAAATATCTATCAGAGAGCAGCAGTCATAAGGAGCTGGACTCTTTCACTAGGCTCTTCTGCTCCCCTAACTTGCACTTGTATTTCCAGCCCCAAGCATGGGGATGCATGGTGTGTAACTACATCAAGGACCTATGGGATTGAACTGTCCTGTTTGTATGGTAAAAGTCTTGACTCTGCACTCAGCTGTACATAATGTACCTTTAATATGCTAAAGCTAATATCTGCTTATATTGACTACTTCCTGAAGTGGGAGATGTTAAGGTAAGGAGACAGGAAAGAGGAGGGTAGACATTAGTCTGCCTTTCTGATGGGGTTTGGCAGGGTTTCCTAGAGAACCTGTGCTGTTCCTGTCAAGTACCATTTGATTTCACAGCAGTAAATGTCCTGTAGTGCAACATCTATGTTCTAGGAATATAATCTGATAAAGCAAGTCAGTCCTTAAAGATAAGCTTTATATTTGCTTTGTCAGCCTAGTTCATAACTGTCTAGGCTGCACTCAGGATTGTGTTTGCTCTGCTTTTTTAATCTGACTTTTCTGTCATGTGGTTTGTAATAAGCTGTAATGTCTAGGGCATTTCTCAGGAGTTTCTACTGTGCTGTCTCTGCCATATTTTTTGTCAGCACAGACTTGGTGAACTGTAAAGGTCTGCAGTGCCCTTATTGAATTGCTTTTACTGTTTTCAGACGTATTTTCTATGTGTTAAAATAATTTGAATTCTAATCCTGTTAACTAATGTGTCGGGCATTTTTTCTGGATTTCCTATGGATTTGACAAACTTACTGTATCTGAATCCAAGGTATTTATGAAAATACTGAATAGTGCTGGATCTGGAAGAAACCCCTAAGTCCTGCTCTTACCCCTGTGCTCTGACAGTGAACAGCTAATAATTGTGCTCTGTCAGTAGCTTTCCAACCATTCTCACCCATTCTGCAGTAGTTTCACCAGACTATTACTTTTCTAGCTTGCTAATGACAACATCTTAACAGCCCCTACCAAAAACATTATCAATGTCATGATGTATCTGTCTCCTTCTTCACCATACCCTTGAGCCTGATTACTCCATCACAGAAGAAAATTAGTCTGGTCTGACATGACTGGGTCTTGACAAATCTCAGTTAGCTCCAATTTATTACCTTGTTATCTTCTTGGTGCTCATAGATGGATGTTTGGTTACTTGTTATTATCTATCGATTAGCTGTTTTTCTGGTAGCTGAAGCCAGGCCCTCCTAGCTATCATCCTCTGAATCCTCCCTTTTCCCATTTGCAGAGAGCACAAAGAGATACTGTCTGAGATAAAACTGCAAGTAGGACTTAACTCTTAATTTCCTAGCTCTTTTACCACTTTTTAATATATAAGTAATGTGAGAACCATACTATCTAGAAGAATTACCCCTGAGAGTTCAAGTTTAAATATGTCATGGCTTTTAGGGCAACAAAGGGCCTTCCTGTCCCTGCCCACTCCCCAGGACTGGAAGGAGTCTCCCCAGGGTCTCACAGCCCCTGCCCCAGTGATGCTGCAGCAGGGCTGGTCTCCAGCTCCCAACAGCCCTGCCCTGCCAAGGTGGGCCCTCATCCTGTCCTTCCCCAGAGAGGTATGGGGATTCCTTGGGGTGGGGCTGCCCTGGTGCCCACTTCTGGCTGGGGTGTGGGACTGTCCCTGGCTGCCAGACCCTGCTCTCCACTATAGGGATGCCCAACCCTCGCACTGTCCTGGGAAAAATGTCTCCTGAAGATATGTTGTCATTTCCAGTGTTTTCTAGTATGTTCCAGGCAACATAAACCAAAACCAGCTGTTGCTTTTGGGGGACTTGGAGGGGCAAGAGAGAAATATCAAAGGGTAAGTGAGTGATTGCAAAGTATTTAAAGGTGTGTCATAAGCTGGGCATTTGCTTCAAATCAGCATTGTTTTCTAGGGCAAAAGGAAAAAGAGAAATGGAAGCTGAGTTAAGCAAAACTCCTTGTATGATTTAATGAAAGAAAACATTTCAGTTTTTAGAGGCATGAAAGTAATTATTTTCTCATCATACTGAAAATGTAAATTCAAGGAAGATTCTAGGCAGCAGGCTGTGCAACCAGCCATAAAAGTAGCCAAGATGTTCCTGTAACCCAGGGCCATGCCCAGGTGATGTGGTGGTGGCTGCAAGGGGCAGAGGGGGATGACAGCTGCATTCCTGGAGAAGGGGTGGCAGAGCAGGACACTCTCTGCCTGGAGAAGCAGAGCAGAGGCAGACTCACCCACTGGACTGTGCCAATGTCTGTCCTACACAAGGGCAGATCCGTAAACATTGGCTTGGTTGTGTAGTGGCTGAAGGAATTTCTCAGTGTTGAAAACAATAGCTTTTTTTTCCCCATGAAAATGTTTGCCTCATTCTTGTTTGGTGAGAAAGGGAAATCTGAGCATCAGGCTAATTTTGGCTGTATTAGGTATAATTTTATGGGCCTCCTTAATTTTTTTTTTTCCCCTGACTTAATTCATCTTCTCTCCAGATGGAATAGTCCTAACCTCTAATGTTTCTTCATCCTCCAGTAGCTTCCTTCCAGATGCAGGTTTGACAGAGCTTGTGCTCTGGCCAAGGCTGCTGGGCTGTCACTGGTTCCATATAACTGCTCATGATGCTTTCAGTTTTCTGTGTCCCATTTGCAGTGCACTCAATTTGCCACATTTCCCATCTCGGCAGACTGAGTGCCGGGTTTCATTTGAGCTGTCCACAGGGATGCTCAGATTTGTAGCCTGAGTGGTCACGGTTCATTTGAAATCCATCAATGTACATGAGTAGTTCAATTCATTTTTTCTAATGTTCATTGTCTTGCCCTTCTTTATGCTGAATTTCATTTGCCATCATCTTATCTGACCGTCTGGTTCTCCTAGGGCTGTCTGCACTGAAGGGTAGCCCTTGTCAGAGAAAGTTGCAGAGATTAATGTTCTTCTAAGCACTCTCCTGCTTCGTGAGTTTGCTATGGTGTTGGGTCTCTTGAATTCTTTCCCAGGCCACTAGGATGGCTCAACCAACTTGCTGTGTGATACTGGGGACTATTCTCTGGTCTCTTGCCCTCTGTAACTCCTAAAAGGAGACCTTTAGCAGAGGGAGGATCGTGATCAAGCCTAGTAGTAGAGAGCATCCAAGCTATTTTACACAGAAGGATCTCAAGATATGGGGATTATCTGGTGCTTTGAAATGAGATGTGTAGGTGCAAGTATCTGCCTCTTGCAGCAGTTTTAGAGAGCTCTAGCATTCCCTTGCAAGGCTGGGAGTATTTTGTCTTTATGATTTAGTCTATCAAACAGCTACCACAGAAAATTTGTTAAACTTTTTATAGTATAAACAATCTTGATTGCTTTATAAGCAAGTATTTTAGAGTTTGTAGGTTGTTTCCAAACAGAGTCAGATACCTAATAGAGGGCCCGGGCTGTGCCTGTCCGCTCTCCTGATGACCCTAGTGAATGGTTTTCAGGTGCTGATATTGGATTGACTCTGTGGTTTAGGAAAGTTAGAGGAAAATTAGGAGAGGCGAGGGACAGCCCTGGTCTTTTTTAACTCTTGGGTGGTATTGGGGACAGTCATGGGCAGCTTTTAATTGTATCAAGGAGATCTGTGAGACTGGGCAAGTCTGAGCAAGGCACAGCAGGGAACCTATTAAATCAGCTGCCTCTCTGTTTGTGTGCAGCAGTGATTGTTGGAAGGCTGAAACTGCTTTTCCTCGAAATATGGTGTCTCAGCCACCTTGGCTGGAGACTGCTCTCAGACATTCATTGCCTGGAAGGGTTTCCAAATGCCTGCAGTCTCACACATTCTGTGTAACAGGTGCTAAAGGGAATTTGGCTCTGCCTGTGCTATCAGGAACAGCAGCTTTCATCCCAAGCTCCGTCAGTAAGGATAGCGAAACCTGCAATTTTCCTCAGAGATGGCAATTTTAACACCCTGTCTGTGAAGACTCTTGCTTTTCTTTCCAAGCTCTTGCTATCCTGCCTAGTCTGCCTTCACCTGTACCTGAGCGACTTCCAGATGTGTGGCAATGTCTGAACTTCCTACCTCTGTTTAAACATGGGCGGGCTGCTCTCCCTGATGCTCTGATGCTTGTCTCTGCTCCAGATGACGAGGGCTCCCCCGGGAGAGAAGAGCAGCCGGCGGGGTTTTGATGAGAAGGCTTACTTGTCCTCCAAGGTGCTGAAGGCTGGAGAAGACCCCTACCGCCAGCACGCTTTTAACCAGCTGGAGAGTGACAAACTCGGCAGCGACCGACCCATCCGGGACACCAGGCACTACAGGTACCCTGCAGCCCTGCTCCGAGCCGTGCTGCTGCTTCGTGCAGGGAGCCCGCTGCTCTCTGCTGTGGGTCTGTAATGTTGGCAAAGCATGTTTTGGGTTTTTCTTTGCCAGCTATGGTCCACTGTTGTGCTGAATTTCATGGTTCAGCTGGAAAGGTCTCAAATGCTTGGAGGGCCTTGACAAATTCAGTCCCAGCTTGGGACTTTTCTAACACATCTTTTTCCAGGTCCAAGCATCATCTTGTTTTAGCACAGCCCCTCCGCTGCAGCTCAGATTGCTCATTGGACAGTTGTGTTTTGCCTAACTGCCCCACACTCGTGGCTTCCCTCAGCATCCTTCTGTACTGTCTGCAAAGTACACCTTAGTTGCAGCCTTGCCTTACTCTGGTGTTCCTCACCTGCTGTGCCCTGGCTGTCTGAAGCTGCTTTGGTGCTTCTTTGCATCCTAAATGTCAGGGTGGGGTAGGGATGAAACAGTGTTCTGTGGCTTACTTGCAAAGTGCTTGTCATTCTGTCCTTGTTTCACTGAGGGTGCATTTATTCTGCTGAAAAAAATTGTCCTTAAATTGCTAATAGGGCTTGGATAACTATTTTGTAGTTTCTGGAGGACAAAAATGTAATTTAGTACAAAAAGATTCTTGAAAACTGTAGGTTTAATAGTTATAGGATAGTTTAGAATAGTCTACTTCTGTCCTAGACTCTACCTAGTATTGTGGTAGCGGGCCCTGCTGGGTAATAATGAGTATTGACTTTATGATTGTAGAATGTTGATTAAATGCTTTATTAAGCTATGCTATACTATATTATACTATTAAGAGAAACCCATTGCTCTTGCCAGACAGTCTGATACACATGTGGATTTAATTGGTTAATTAATTAAAACACTATCACCGAAGTCTAATTAAGAAATCTCTCTTTACTAAATAATCTCTATAACATGTTCCACATGTGCACAACAACAAGTGTAGTAAATGAAAATAAGAATTGTTTTCATACCTTTCTCTGTTCAGAGAACATGTAATTACCACAGCCTAGACCTGTGTATGGTTCTAGGTATGGTATGGTTTCAAAGCAACATTTCACAGTTGCTGGAAGCAGGAAACCAGGCATCTAACTTGATTGAAATTGTGAAAGGGATGCCAGGAGACATGGAGCTTTGTGAGCCTGCCAGCACTGACAGCCCTCAGAGTGTTTTTCAAAGACAAGCAGTCAGGACCATGGTTGTGGGATCCAAGTCTTGTGCTGCTGTTCTCCAGCATAGTATTTGGTACTGGCTTTTTGGTGACCCAGAGGCAATGGTGCCATGTTCTGTGTTGCTGACAAGTCTGCTGGCAATGCAGAATTTATGTTTTCTGTTAATCTGCTGTCATGTTCTGGCCTAAAACCAGCTCACTTCAAAGATAAATTATCGTTTATTGTGATCTGTGATAGCATGTCGAGCATGCTTTTTGTGAAGAGCCTCATCTGTGCACTTCAGTCAGAAAAGCAAAATATATGTGATTCCCTGCAAATATATAGCCATTTCAGACCCAGCTTTTCAAGGATTCTCTTGAGTAATGGATGGTCCAAAGTAGTATATAATCAGAATAAATAAACCTATTTCCATGTTTCTCCCCTTTACAGGGAGCAATTTGGGAATGAGCAATCTGTGTTTGACTATCTTATGTTATGACAATATTGGAATAGTTGCTGAGATGGCAATTCAGGATGAGGACTTATTTCAGCTGATACAAGTTAGATTGTGAACTTGGCTCTTTGTTTAAGGAATGGAGGAGGTCTTTATGTCACTAACATATCAATTTTTCTTCAGGCACCCAAGCCAGAGCATGGACTTTCTTGACTTTACATCCTACAAGCTCCTTCTGACTTAGCATGCGTCTGTTTCTTTGATCCAAAGCAAAGACACAGTCAACTTTTAAGCACAAACCTTGTCCTTGTTCTCTGTGATGCTGTAGTAATGCTGAAATACTGGGAAAACTTCCCCAAATAACCCATAAATCAGCCTCTTCTGCTTTTCCACTTCCTGATTCCTTAATACATTTTGTATGCATTACATGGAGTTATTTTGAAACAATAATAAATATAGTCTGTCTCAGGTCTGTTCTCATATTGTCCACTTTAGTCTTTATCAGGTTTCTCTATATGTTTAAAAATGGCTGTATGAAGCTGCTGTCCCCTTAATAAAACACTGCAATGAAAAAGTCATAAACCAGTGGGATTGAAAGTGATAAAACCAGTCTCAGTTTAGCAATAGTCATAAAAGAATAGTAAGTAAATGTGGAAGTACAAGTAGTGAGTCTGAGAAGTGAATTGTATTCCCTGTCTCCTGATGGAGATTCAGTCTATGCAAAGCCTTGAGTTGTTAGAAGTAGGTGTGGTTTCTTCATCAGACAGGAGATTAGAGCACACTGACTGCAGTTTGACACCATCTGGAAGTTAAGAAAGCAGATGCTTTGGAGGAGCAGGTCAACCCAAATCAGCTGTGCTTAGCATCTGCCAGAATTGGATTCAGGATTCATGTCTGTGAGTTGTTCCCCTCACAGAAACTTGGCTCTCCACAGGGAGAAGCAGCCTGGTGCAAGTTAGTCCTTGGTTCTGAGTGTGAGAATGTGTGTATGTACCTAACATTATAAAGTCAGATGAGAAGATAGAAAGAATTGCTCTTCATTGCCAGCGGGTCCATTAGTGTTGAGCCTCAGCAACTCCCCAACACAGATCACAGAACTAGCTGGTGTTTTTCTTTCTGTGAAGTTTGTGTCCAAAGAATTTGAAGTGCTTTATACAGCAATGCTTGGGTGTACCAGCTCCATGCATCCTTAGCATGTCCATGTCCTGTGCATGAATAAACAAAATTTTATGTGAATCACAGGTAAATCCAGGGACTATGACTGAAAGCCGGGGAATCCATGACTGAAACTGAGTTTACTATAAAACCTACATGTCCTCCTTAGTATGCAGTTTTGTGAGTTTGGGTATCACAGCCTCCAAATGTTGCTTTTTCAATGGGCACAGTTCTTTTTAAGCTCTGCCAGCCTTGGTGCAGCCCAACTGTGCTGGTTCTGATTTTAGCATATTACTCTCCTTTTAGAAATTGCAGGTACACTGTTGCAGTGCTACTGCTAGGTAATGTTTGGCTTACACTTCTGCTCTCCTGTGCTGCAGGTGCACTTCTGTACGCTATGACACCGACTTGCCAGCCACCAGTGTCATCATCACCTTCCACAACGAGGCGCGATCTACCCTGCTCCGCACGGTGAAGAGGTGAGTTCAGCTGGGCTGCCAGGCCTGCATGGTGGAGTCTGGAAGTGCTCTGGGGGAAAATTAGGCATTTTGCAGCAGCTAGACAAGTAGGGTGGCTGCAGTTCCCCAAGTGGTAGTGTTCTGCTCTCAAGATGGCCCACTAGGACGGGCCAGAGGCTTGGATTGGCATTGTGGGCGTATCTTCAAATGCAGAATGCATTCGCAGTTGGCCACTGTATGGCTCCAGCTGGGGGAATCTGAGCAGCAAGAAAGGGTAGCTGGGCCTGCATCCACAGGTGAGAACAGTCTCAAGTCTCAACCAAGCGTGAGCTTGGTTTGGAAGAGTGAGGGGGGACTAAAGAGAGCACTGTGTTGCTAGGTGCAGCAACCCAGCCCTTGCTCACGGTCCCTTGCTGCTAATCAGTGGCTGAACCTGATGCCCCAGCAGGTGTACCCTGGGCCTTGCACACAGCTCCTGCTGAGCCTGCAGGACACTTGCCATCTTGTACCAGTGTCTCCTCTTATCAGCAGTGGCCAAATCTAGCTAAGTAAATAGATGGCATAGGGCCTGTAGCAACCCCAAATAGATGGAGGTTTGCAGTCGTCTGTACCACAAAGCAACGTTCCAGCTGCTCCTTCACTGCCCTCTTCCATCACCCCCACAGAGCCCAGGGAGGCTCTTTTCCTTTTAGTTCCCATAGAAAAAAATGCCCTCTGACTTATTAAGTAATTTCTCAAAGGGTCTCTGAAGCCTGCAAGCAGGCCCAGGAACAGCCATTGAGGCTGAAGGGAGTGTGAATTGTCAGTGTAGTAGTTTGAGCTGATGGTATCACTAACAGGAATGCATTATTCATCATTGCCACTTCTTACCTTGACAGATCCTGTGGACCTAAGAAATGTGCTATATGAATAAAGAACAGTTTTTTTCAAATTGGCTTCCTGTCTAGAAGGCCGGGTTTCTGCCACCAAGTTTGGTGCTATGGTGTTTCCAGAGACCTGTATATATTGCATTGACATGTTATGTCTTTTTATTTCTATCATTTTCTTTTCATGTGAGCTATACAATGAGTTCTGCAGAGTCACTGTCCAGAAAATGGGCAGACTTGTTTGGAATCATGGTGCTGCTAGGGCAGCTGGAGGAGATTTCTACCTTTTCAGTCATAGGTCAGACAGTAAATAGATGCTGAGAAACCATGGTAGTATGGCCTCCTTTTTCTTGTCCTGGAAAGCCCAGAACTGGACACAGCACTTAAAATGTGATATTACCAGTCTCTCAGATGTGGTCCCCTGCAACCAGAGCCCCCAACCAAGGCCTTAAAAATGGGTGACCCATCTGTTCAGATTGGTACCTGCAATGCTGCTGCCCCTGGAGGACTGCTGTTGTGAAGAACTGACTGCACTCTGCTGTGAATGGTGTAGGGGATGGAATTTCCTCCCAGACCTCTGGCTACAGCTGGGGTCTTCATTGCCAGATGGTTTAAAGCCAGTGCATGCAATGGATTTACTCCTTCCTTAAATCACATCAGAAGTGTCAATAATTTATCCCTGTGTCATGAGAGATCCTGAAGGCTGAATCTTCTTTGGGCTCTACAGTATCTGCAGTGCCAAACAAGCAAGCATTGGCTAGTAGCCTTGTCTTTGAGCACTGAAGGTTTGACAACCGTGCGTGGAGGTAAAGGTTCACGTCATGGCTGCACTGCCAGAAGAGGCATAGGCATAATTCTGGCTTACAGGCTGATACTGATGTTATAGAGAGATTTGACGGAGCTCTTCAGGGCCTCTTCTGTAACCTGAGAGCCCCATTTTTCAGCAAAACTCATCTGAATGTGCCAGGCTGAGTTACTGCTGTGAGGGTAATTGTTGTTCAAGTCACACACACAGTCAGTGCACCAGTACTATGTAATTACTTTGCATCCCTGGCACTTGGGATAAGTCAAGTATCAAAGGGACAGGACTGTTCTGTTCTGTTGGGTTTATGACCTGGCTGTGAGTCTGAAGCAGCAGGTAGCATAAAATTGCACTGCTTGCTTACCTGCTGACTAGTCAGGCTTGCAGCTTGTCATTATTTCTATATCTGCAAGAGCTTTCTTATACCAGGTAGAGCATGATTATTTGGATAATTAGAATGAACCATTTGAGATGCATCTGGTGAAAGTTAAATATGATTCCACTGTTATTATGGGCCTTTTCCCAAGTTCAGTTATCATGATTAGACTGTGGGAATGCTATAAGAGAAATGGGTGTGAAGGAGGAAAACTGATGAAAATGAGCAGCACTAAAAGCAAAATTTTCTATGTCTGAAAACATTTTTAGAGGCCTAATCTTTTGAGGTGAGTAGAAAATGTATTACCAGCTGAAATTTTCATACGTGAGGTCTTTGCAATTGTGGCTTTTGACTATCTGAATCTGGGCACTCAAAAACCAGCCATAAGACTTCTGGAAATTCTAGAATGAAATACATGAAAAGGGTACTGGGACTGAGCTGATCTTAAACCCAGGGGGAGCCCAAATGCACTTCCCTGAGCCAGATACTGGCCTATTGCAAGGTAATTCAACGAAGTGGCAATGCTGGTACCAAAAGATCTTGGGAAGTGACCCAGGGATGATAGTCCTGCAGCACAGGCTTATTTCAGGGTGATCTAAACCTGGCAGCTCTAAGGGCCAGGTCCTGATCTGCATACCCTTCTTGCTAACCTCACATGCACATGTGAACACATGGACTTAAACGCCTCTGGCAGCTCAGCCGTTGCCTTCTTCTCCCTCCTGTCTCTGGGGTCTCTGCTGCTGGGTGGAAGCAACAGGAATGATGTGGTGTTGTTGCTCCTTGAGGATGGGAGAAATGTTTGTGGGAGAGGGGGAAAGAGAGGAGTGACCTTGAAGAGGAATAACATATTCCCTCAAGCACCCTGTTGCTTATCCCTCCTGCTCTTCAGAGACAGCATGGGCTGCATACCTGCCTTCTAGTGTGGACTCCGGCCATATGTTTTCAGTGTAGAGGGAGACAACTAGTTAAAAATATCCAGCAAGAGTCTAAAGAAGGGGAATAGGGGAAAAAATGGGAAATGGGCTGTCAGACAAAACCTATGAACATGCCAGTTCAAATGGCTTGTTGCTGGTATCCTCAGTCCTGCAGGAGATGTGTCAGTCAAGAGCTGCTTGCCTGCTTTGATCTCTTTTTCTTTGTTAGGAAATAGCTGTCACTCTCAAATCAGTCACTTGCTTGGCATCTGTTGTCCTTCAGAAACAATTGTCACTCAAAAGGCATTTTATGTGATTGATGTCTATGCATGATAAATCTTTAAACCATGCCTTCACTCTGCTGCTGTGACCATTCTTGCAGAACAAAAAGGTCAAGTGCTTTGTTGTTTGGTCCCTCTCTTTCTGATCTCAGGAAGTCATGATTGCAGGGACCTTTTGGTTTTGGTGCAAATCTAAAGGTGAATTGTGAAGCTCTAGGTCACTGGATTTGAACAGCTGTCAGTGGTTCAGTGCCTATGCAGAGGCCCTGTGAAAATTCTGATTAAGAGGATGCTGTTTTAATGCTGGAGCATTTGGTGTAGCATCTCATGTACAATGACAATTTAAATAATGGCAAAAAATAACATTATGTTAGAGCAAAGGGAAAAAATATACTCTTCTGCTAACATCCAGAATAAACAAGATTATCTGGGAACTTAGGAGGGGATGGACAGAGGAGAGGAACTCATTGGCAGTGCTGATGTCACGTTCATGCAAGAGAGTAAGGACTCTGATACTGAAAGAAGAAGGAAGCTGTGAGAAAAGGCAAAGGATATAGGGAAGCCATGAGATGAGGGGGGAACAGTCCATGTTTCTGCTGTAAAAGGCAATTGTCACTTGAAATTTGGAATTCTAATAATACATTTTTGTGCCTGTTTGTCATGGCGTTCTCTGCACCTCAGTGAGGGGAGATATTAGGATTATTGTGCTCCTTGTTAAAAAGACAGGGGTGACAAAGTGCAAAGAAGATGAAGTACCTTTCCTGAGGATCTGCAGCAAGCTATTGCAGAGCTGAGAGAAGAACAGGGCACTGTACAATGAGCTGTGAACTCCTCAAGGGATGTGTTCTCTCTGCTGGGGAATCAGTGGACAGGTAAAGAACAGAGAGCAAAATGGGGCTTTTTTCCCAGTTATGTGGGGTTGAAATACCTGAAACTTGTGGAGAAAATGTGTGTATTGCCCATAGTCAAGCTAGTAGAAGGAGGTGTGGAATGCCATTATATTGCAGTTTGTCTGTGTTGTTTTGCATCGTGTTTGCACAGACAAGAATTTCAGTGCAGGGCAACCTTGTCTGTAAAATATGCAGATGGTGGTTGTGCTGGGAGAAGCTGCACTTAGAATGGCACAGGAACAACCCCCACCTCCCACCCCACCATACTAGAGGATCCAGAGAGACATGAGCCAAGAGAAGCAAATGAGATTCAGCTTTGGAAAATGCAAGCTCAGTCATCTAGGGACATGTCAGCTCAAAATACAAATACTATGAGAGGTGTATAAAGCAATGTGAATCTGAAATAGAGTGGGATGTGATACTGAGCAGCAGAACAGTTGCAATTTTGCTTTTTTGCAGAAAGCAGAAACCTCTTCCAAACTCAGGGAACTTTTGCTCTGTATGCAAAGCCATCAGTGGTGTTACTTAACAAGATGGCACCTTCATTCCTGGGAGTATGGGACTATTCCTGTTGTCTATTTCCAATATCAAACTACAAAAACAATAAAATCCAAAAGAGAAAAAAAGCCAGAAATTTTTCTCCAGTATTGCTCAAAAGAGCAGGTACCACTGAAATGAAACAGGTTGCTAGAACTAGGAGGGCAGTGTTTGCCTCTGCTTTTAGTATTAAAATTTGCATAACTGCCATCTTCATTGGACTGCTTAAGCATCACTGAGCAACCTTGTTGAAGGCAATGAGGACCTGCCTGTGCACAGAGGTGTTGAAGGAGGCTTGGAGGGGGAATATGCTGTGTGATGGTAGTAAAGCAAGAGAAAGATTTGAAGAAGTTCATGGAAAAAGAGTTCAAGCATTTTAAATGAATGAGACTGGTAAAGAGGTCAGAACGGAACTGCTCAGACTCCAAAGTACCAGAATGCTTTGACATCTGAGGAGGTCAGAAGCTTTTCTCTGCTTTCCTCATGTGTGTCCTGCAGATGCAAACCTCTTGCAGACCCGAGGGTATTACATGGTGTGGTGCAACCAACCTGAGGAAAGGGGGTGCTTTCAGCAAGTGTCGTGCTGGTTTGAAAGACAGATAAACAAAAGAAGGGAAAAAAATCCAAATCCAGAATATTGACAATGCTTCCTTCCAAAGAAGGGAATCAGTGAGAAAGCCTGAGCAGGTGGCACTTGTTGCGCTGAGGTGGAGGAGCTCGTGCTGTGGAAAGTGGCAGCTCTTTATGCCCTCCAGCAGTGATGACTTTCACCCAGAGGCAGGCAGATGGGAATGGCCATTGGGCTGCCTCAGGGCAGGTGGTTCTCTCCATTTCACCTCTGTTTATGGGTAGAGCATGCTGCAGCATCCTTTGCTAGCTGCCCCAGGCCAGTCTCAGTCAGCTCCTGGCTGTGGGTCCTTGTAAGGTCTGGCTGTGTGCCACAGCTCTCTGGGATACTCTCACTTGTAGTTTGGTCCCACCAATGAGCACTGTTACAAGGGCAAGGTCACTGCTTCCACTTTTCTGGAGTTTGGTATTCCTGCTGTAATGAATAGCACAGCAGATTTCTCTCAGTCCTAACATTGTCATTGTTATGGCAGCTCACAAAGTGGCTTTTTCTTTCCTGGGTCCCTGCAGTGTTCTGAACCGCACCCCTCCCAGTCTCATCCAGGAGATCATTTTGGTAGATGACTTCAGCTCAGATGGTAAGTTTGGACCTATTTCCTTTACACTTATTTCTTGCCTTCTGTTTTCCCGTTTTTTGTTTGCTCTGTTGAGTCTCCTTCCCTCACAGATTCCCTCTTGTCTGTATGCAGGAGAAAAAGAAAAGAAAGTAAGTCTGTGTTTCATGTCCATGCATGGCAGAGGCCAGAGCTTCTTCCTCTCTTTTTCTTTCCATTGGGTCTTCCATTTCTGTCAGTGTGGCAGTTTTTGCAGGGTTGCCAGAGATCTCTGTCATGTTTCATTATGCACCATTTGGTGAGTTGTTTAGCACAGATATATATGTAGCAATGCTGTGCATGAGCAGAGCAGGTACTTGCAGACCAAGAGGCAAGAAGAGGATGTGGTGTAGCATACAGAAAATTGCTGCCTGGGGTCCTGCAGGCAGGCTGAGGTGAGACTGGCTGTCTGCCTCCATGTGCCTGGGATTCCAGGTATCCCTGTGGGAAGCTGTGGCAGAGTTTCTGCTTTGGACAGCACCATACTTTCTTCTGCAGCTTGGCACAGGGGTGGAGTGTCTACTGCATCAGTTCCAGAGTACCAAAGCTGCAGACTGGAGGCTCTGGAGTCTTTCCCTCTGTGCAGTTGCTCTTGCTCCTGGCTGTTGTGTAGTAGTAGTAAGGTGGTGGGCATAGAAGACTTCTTGCTTCTCCTCTGATGTGTTCTAGACTCAAGGACAATCTAGTTATGTACCATTTATAATGATCAATAATTACTCCTTCAGAGCACTTTACAGATAGCTGCGAGTGCCCACCTTGGCCTGCTGAGGTAAGGAAGCAATGCTATTTTGATTTTGCAGCTACTTGCTTATGTAGCTTTGGCCACAAAAAAAACATATTAAAGGTGGATGCTGAGATGAGGGATTTGAGTTTCTGAGGGCCTTAGAGTGTGTTTCAAATAAGTACTGAGCTGTGCTCAGCTGTTTAATTTCTGAGCACTTCCAACAAACAATCCTAAGTGTTCCACATTCTGCACCTAAAAATTTCAGTTCTTAAAGGGCAAAATGTTCCAGATCAATAGTGATGGATTTCTGGTACCTGTTCTGCACACGGTTCAACCATAAACTCCCATTTAGGCTCCTCAGTAAACAGGAAGATTTTTAAAAGGCTCCATCCTGTCACAGCTCTTATGTTTTTCACTGGCAGCTGGCTATTTGTGGCTATAGCCACTTCCCTGAGATACATTCATGAAGGCACTTCAGCACATGTTTCAGGTCTGACACTTTGCTTTCATACCTGCCTCAGTTTCTCCAAATATACTGAGAATTTGTCATCTCTGGCAAGTATCTACAGGCAGAGCCGTGTGCTCTGCTACTGCAGAGTGAACGACTGAATAAGGATTCTCATACCTGAGCTTGTGACTTGGCCAAGATAAGAGCATTGCCTTCCCTTGTAGTGTACCACTAGCAAAATCTCGATGCTCTGTAATTCAGAGCACCTGCCACTTCCCTTGGATGATGCAGGATCTGCCAAGGTGCCAGTGTAAGAGCAGTATTTCAGATTGCACAGATCCTTGAGAATGGAAATGCTTGTACGGGAGTGTGCTGAGAGGTGCACTTTGGCTAAGGGCCTTTGCATCCTCCCCAGAGTGCTCAGTCTGTGGGAAGGTGACAGCAGGAAAGAGGGGGCATGAGGCATGTAAAGGAATATGGAATAAACAGGGAAATTGGGGTGGATTTGATGGAGCGAGAAAAAAGAGCAAGTTAGAAATTGCTGTTCCTATGACATCTGCTAGGGCAGGAATAGAGAGGATGACAGAGAACTAAAGACTCAGTGCTCACTGGTGTCTGGGTGGAGCAGGTAACTGTTCCTCTCCCTCATCTTCCCTAGGTAGTGTAAATGAGGGGTGCCAGCAGTTTCTAGCAAGCTGCCAGCAAAGCCCTTGGTCAGGCATCCATGAGTCAATGTGCTGGTGTCTCCAAGGAAGCAGGTTGCATCCCAGTGGCCTTTATTAAATAAAATCAAGCAGAAACTGCCCTGAGAACAAGAGGCAGGAAATGCCCAGATGAGCCACTGAAGGCAAAGAGAGTGGATAAGATCATGTTATGTTACAGAACTCTCTTTTCCTTGGCACTTTTGTGGTTTGCAGTCCCGCTTCCCTGTGTTCCCTCCTTTTCATTAGTGCCCAGGGCCATGCTGCCAGCACGTGCCCCGTTGTTCTTGGGAAATGCTGAACAGGGGAGATGGAGGTCTGGCTGTTCAGAGGATTTGGAGACATGGGCTCAGCTGCTGAGGACAGCAAGCAGGCAGGGCTCTTCTGTGTACTCTGTAGACAACAGGATTGAGGCCATCATGCTGATTAATGTGATGTTAAGTGAAAGCAGAATTTTGCCTGCCATAGAGAAGCAGGAGGACAGTTAGTTGGGGCTCTCTGTTGAAGCCAAATAATTCATGCATGTGTACTGAATGTCTTTTTTTGCCTTCCCCAAGCTGAGGACTGCCAGCTCCTTACCAAGATCCCAAAGGTCAAGTGTCTACGAAACACCCATCGAGAAGGTGAGTGTGGAAAGCTTTCTAAGTACAAAGATCTTGCCTGTTTTTCCACATGACCCTGGTTGCCTCCCAGCTGCTTACATGTTGTTTCCTGTAGTCAGAATTTGTTTTTTCAGTATAAGCATTTGGAAGTTCTGTGGAGGGAGAACACAGCTTATCAACTCTCAGGCTTCAGGGGTCTCATGTAATACTTAAATAATGAGAAGTGGTGTACAGAGGCCTTCGCTGGAACAAAGATTATATTTTAAGATCTTTATGAATAAAGATCCAGGTGCAAGCCTTGTCCTTTTAAACACAAGCTAACTCTTGCACTTTCAAGCGCAAGATAACAAGCTGTGTAGGAGACATGGGAGAAGGAAAACCAATCATGTATCTATCAAAAGAGACACAATTAAGGAAAGTTTTTTGTCATAATTCTGCTGCATGCATAAATGACTTTCCCAGCTGCTCTTTAGTTTGACCCACATGTGCTGGCTTATTTCGAAAGCTGTCAGTGCACAGCAGGTTTGGAGCAAGGATCTAGAAGGAGAGACAAAAATCACAGTTTAGTTGACAAAGAGCATCCCATGTAGTGCGATGGTCTGTAAGAAAGTAAGGAGTCATCTGAGAGCCAGGCAAAGGACAAATGGAATAAAGGAGATAAGCAGTAAGGAAGGCAAAATGCAGAGAGTAGAATTTGGCCATGGAGAATTGGTGATGAAGGCAGCAGGGTGCTCAATGGGAGAGAGAGTGAGCAGGCAGCATCCAGGTGTCTGTGGGAAGGGCTGGAAGGGAAGAACAAGGAGCCAGGTGGAAGTTCTGTGTCGTGGACAGAAGTGACAGGAAAGGCCATTCACTGTGCTGGGAGGGCTCATCTGACTGTCCTCAGGGCATGCCCTGCTCTAAAGCTGCTCTCTGCTCCTGATGGAGATGTGATATATATATCTTTCCCTGCAATGGGCACATAAAGTATTTTTTCTGAAGGAGGCTCAAATGCTTCCTTTCCTAACCTTCCTGCTCCTTTGCTGTCCTTTTCTCCTCGTAGGGCTGATTCGCTCTCGGGTGCGAGGAGCTGAAGCGGCAGCTGCTGACATCCTCACCTTCTTGGACAGTCACTGTGAAGTCAACAGCGAGTGGCTGCAGCCAATGCTGCAGAGAGTGAAAGAGGTGAGCACCATGTTCTGCGCTGGGATGGATGGAGCTGGCCTGGCCTGTGCCGTTCTATCCTCTGGTCTCACATGCCTCGGCAGACTGGTGAGAAAAGGCCTGCCAAGGTACTCCTCAGGCAGGCTGTTACAGAGGAAGGTACAGCCTGAGCTAGATGGGAAAGAGATCCCTGATGGGATTCTGTTCTGCCAGTGTGAGAAGGCAGGAGGTGCAGAGTGATGGGATGCAATGCTGAGTGCTGGAACCACCAAATTGTACCTCTTGCAGGCATTGTGCTTCCTCATCCTGTTCACCTGTATGTAAGACAGCCCCTTGGGCAGCATACATTGTGCAATTTTTCCACGGTTTCCATCTCCCCTGCTGCTGGACCCTCCCCTCTGCCTTGTCACTGCCAAAATTTTCTTTCTATTAATGTTCCTACTGAGCTGCCACCATACATCACCTGCATGCAGGCAGCTTCCTGTCACAGAGAAGCTGCTTGTGACTGCAGGGATGTCCCCTTGGATGGTTCACTTGGCAAAGGATTGATGGAAGGCTGGAAGAATGAAAATGAGGCAGAAATATTAGCAGCTGTCACCCTGACTGTACTGCAGAGCTGGAGGGAGAGATCATACAGCTCTGCTGTAAGAAGAGGCAGGGGAGAGGGGATGGGAGAAGTCCTGCCTGCAAGTGGCTGTGATTGTTCCCCTCTGAAAGGAGGATCCCATGAAGAAATGGGCCTTAGGAGAAGGGGTGGAGTCTTTAATTTTGCTTTGTAAGCATGTCTGATTAGCTTAATATGAGGGAGCAGAAGAAGGTGAAACTTCAGAATTGATGAATTAAAAGCTTCTGCTTTTTATTCTTGTTCAATAAAGCCCATAAATGTTTACTTTACTTATTGATCTTTAAGTCAAGGTGCAGCACAAGAAAGAACCTCACTCATTACTTTAGGGAAGGATCTAAAATGCAAAAGTCTGTGTGCTAACTCTAGTATACAAATTTTTAGTGAGCAGATTTCAAGTCAACCTATTTCTGACTTACTTTCTACATTTCTGATGTACATCCTATTATAGATTTCAGTCTTGCCCTAGCCAGTCCTGGCACTGATTGGTTGGAGTAGTGGCTGGCACACCAGGCTGCCGGGTGGGTGCTGGAGTCTCAAGCTGTGCAGACACACTCTGGCTGGGCCACCATCACAGCTCAGAAGGGAAAAACATGAGTCCTCTTACCAAGGATGTCGGGCCACCATCACAGCTCAGAAGGGAAAAACTCTTACCAAGTCCTCTTACCAAGGATGTTCCATCCTAGCCAAGTGTGGTACATCGTGAGGAACTATTGCAAGGCACAAAATGAAGGTTTGATAGGAAAGGCATGGGTGCTGGCAGCTATCCAATAACAAGGTTCTGTTTCTGGCATTGCCAGCTCAGTTTTATCTTATATGGCAGCTGTCACAACACTGTCTTTTAATGCCCTGTCTCATGATGTTGAAAAATTGTTCAACTTCTGCAAACAAAAAAGGATTGCAAAAGAAAACTGTAAATGTCTATAAGCCTTAATGGCAATAAAGTACTCACAATATCTTGATATTATAATGTATACAATCTTAAATGGGGGGGTCTTGATTTATAGTACTTCCTAAGTAAATAGGATTATTAGGGGTTTGATAATTTCTAGGCTGATGATAATGAGCTAGTTTAAGGATGGCTGAGCAGAAGGTGTGCTGTCAATAGATATCAAAAGCAAGCACAAAACCCCTGGGACAGTGATTGATACCCTGTGACTTGGGCAGGAAATAAAGAGGTGTTTCTTAGCAGCATTCCTAGGTGTTGGAGTCTGACTCCATTCCCCTCATCCATGGAGTGCTGCTGGCTGGGTACCCACCATCTCCATGTTTGGATTTAGTGGCCACAGATCCTTTGCACAGCTGCCAGAACCATATTGGAGAAATCAGACAAAGATTTACATGTTCAACTTTGTGTTTCCTGATCTCTGGCAGCTTTGCTGGACATTCAAGAAAGTCTGATCCCTTTTTTCCCCCCTTTCTCTCTCTCCCTCAGGATTATACCCGAGTGGTGAGTCCAATCATTGATGTTATCAGCCTGGATAATTTTGCCTACCTGGCAGCATCAGCAGATTTGAGGGGAGGTGGGTATAATGAATGGCTTATGTAAGTTAGACATAACTGAGGGATGGTGCATGATAAATGTTGTGTTCTTTTCAGCTTTCCAAGAAAATAGAGTGATGATCTTTCTGATGGGTTATCTGTCCCTTTTTCTCTGCAACTTGCCAAGTCAGATCTTTTGAAGAGTTAGAACAAAACTCAACTAGCATTTTCCTCTTGACCTTGAATCACTGTCATAACATTTAGCAGTTTCAGGACTCAGTTAATTGATTAAATATCTCACTATGTCATCATTATGCTGCATGTACACTGGAGTCTGACAAGCACTTCCAGTTGCTGCTTTGATCTGGCAGGCTCTCTCATGGCATCTTGTGAAAAGCATTTACACCTCTCCCCTCACAGCTGAGCCCCCTGCAGCTGTTCCTGTCTTCACCCCACTTTCTGGTGCCCTTCTACATCTTTTATGGCTGGGGCTCACTTCTGCACCGCTTGCCAGCCAAAGGCTACCTGTTCTTTGGCTACCCTTAGCAATGGTATAGTGACTGTGCTGTGCTCTACTATCCACCATAGGCCATCTGTAAGTGCATGGTAGTCTTGAAGAGCATGGTGGGTACAGTGATCTGCAGGCCTTTGTTCCCAGAATATATCACATCCTACCAAGTCCTTTATTAAAGCCTCATAACTGTGGCTGACAGGGTTTGCCTTTGGTAAAACAAACTGGCTAGAATAGAATTACATCTCAGCCTGACAACACTCTCCTGAAGGTGTGGAGTGAAATTGAGGAGACATCTAATGCTAAGGAATGATGGTGCCAAGACAGAAGCTGGAGAGGTCTGAATTAGGATAGGCTATTGCCATTTTAGGAAGACTGTGAGGGAGGTCAGGGGAGGAACATAGGGACAGCCTGTGATATAACAGTGCAGACTCACTGAAAGCTAGTAGTACTGTTTTTACAATAAGAAAACCAATTTGGCATGTCTTTTTCCTTTTCAGGGTTTGACTGGAGCCTTCACTTTAAGTGGGAACAGATTCCTATAGAGCAGAAGATGTCCAGAACAGACCCAACTCAGTCTATAAGGTACACTCTGATGGACACTTCTCCAAATAGCTTTACTAAGCCTTCACCAGCGTGGCAAAGAGAGTACAGGGAATGCCTTGCTGAGGACAAAATGCCACAGTGTTGATGATGTCAAACTCTTCATGTTATTTTCTGAATACATTGAGGTCTATACCCGAAGTATGAGAGAACTGCTCTCTGAATATTGTAAGAATAGTGATTATTTACTAACATGCACTCCACCTCTACAGGCCACCTCTTCTTCTGTATGTTTGTTCTTGTGTTCTCCCTAACTCAACACTCTGAATGCCTCAGAAATCGCTTTGGGGTTTTTTTATTACCTCCATCTTTCAGATGAAAACTTCAAGAATGAAGCAGATAAACAGCAGTTCCACATGTGTAAAGCAGATCAGAAAACTGGATCTTACCTAGTAATGTGGGTATAGAATTACTCCCACCTACTAAATCTGCATGTCCACAGACAAAAGAGGTTCTGTTAGCTGGAACAGTTGTTGCCAGCCTCACTGCAGGATACATGGCTCTGAGACATGCAGAATGTAACAAATCCTGATATGAGGAGTTATGGTGCTTGTCTTTATAGGCAGACAGCTCCCTGTTTATAATCCAAAGGTATCATTTAATTCCTCTGTGTAATTTGTGAGCCTCTGTTTTGCACTCCAGAAGCAGCCAGCTTGCTAACAGCAGAGCAGTACATGCAGCAGCTTGTCACACTGTGTCTAATTGGTGAACACAGTCATCAAACAGTGCCCATCATTCCTTCACACTGTGCATATTTGTATAAATGCAAAAGGCACAGCATTACTCTTGTAGTGCTTGCAAGACCATCTAACAAAGACGTGAGGATGATTTAGTGAGAGGCATCTCAGAAACCTGCAGCAGGCTCACATTCCAGCTCTACTATTTTTCTCTTTTAAATGAGGTATGACTTGTGATGGCTGGACAAATTTGTCTGCCCTTTAAAATTAGTTTTGTGGTGCTACATATATGTGTGATTATTTTTTCTGGATTTCTGTTTTCTGTTCCAGAACCCCTGTCATAGCAGGAGGCATCTTTGTGATTGACAAGTCCTGGTTTAACCACCTGGGAAAATATGATACTCAAATGGACATCTGGGGAGGAGAAAATTTTGGTACGTTTAGACTGTTTCAAGGGAATGACACGCTAATGCAGAACTGCTTCCCTGTCTTCATTGCTTACCAGAGCTTTTTTGTGAGAGATCTGCTCAGCATGTCTGTGTAATGTTGGGGACATGGTCAGATAATCCCAAGGTGGTCAGAGCTGTATCACTGTCAGCATAAAGTCTGTGTGGTCAGGGCTACACTCTCCTACAGGCGTATTTGCTATTATACAGGAGCTTCCACAGTACAAGAAAGAGAGAGGAGCCTCCTGATATTTAAATTGTTGCTTGTTTTTGGAGAATATTCTTCCAGTTCTTCACATGATATTCTGTGTTGCCCCAGCTCTGAAGTGGCCAACCACTCCTGCAGCCTCTTCTTACACCTGTTCCTCTCTTGCAGATAAATCTGAATTGCTCTCTCAGCTTGACAGGTCAGAGATATTTTTCCTAATTAAATAAGCTTCTTTGTAAATGGAATTTGGTTACAAATAGACTCAGAATGCAAACATTTATATGCAGACTAGGGCATCACAAACACTGAGGACTTCAGAGGCCCAGAGTTGTTGTCCACTCACGTGCTGGTTTAGGGCATGGTGCTTAAACCCATCTCCTTGCACTTAGCAGTGGCACAGGTATGCCAGGCATCTCTCTTTGCCCCGTGTGAAGGGATGCTGCCATGTCACCAGGTGTTAATGAAAAAAGCAAGATGAGTGTTAAAGAGAGGTTCATGGAGACCTCAAGTGTTTGGGGCATTAATTTAGAAATGGTGCAGATGGAGCTGAGAAGATAAAAGCCTTACTTTTTGTAACAAACTTAAGTAGATTTCTCTGTAGCTAACATGGCAAAAAAAAAACAAAACAAAACAAAAAAAAAAAACAAAAACAAAAAACAAAAAAAAAAAAAAAAATAAAAAAAACCTTTCAAAGAAGGATTTGTATGGTGTTTCCTAGCACCTGGAGAACTAATTAGAAAGAATGAAATAGGAAGAGGAAACCTTTGTTGCTCTGAACACAGCTGGGAGAGTTGCCTCTTTGAGATGCTTTCTAAAACAGTTAAATAATATTTTGGGCTGATAATAGACTCTCAAGATACCACGTTTTAGAAACAAAATATCTATCAATGAGTGTTCTCTGTTTTCCCAGATCTTGATTCAGTTTTATGGTATTCATTATATTAGAAAGAGATATTAAATGGTACTTGCATTGGAATCTCAGCAGCCCTAGCAGCATCAGCTAAGCACTGTGGCAGAAGTCACAGGAAGCCTTTACTCAGGCATGAAGATCCCCTCCTTTATGTCCTTCAGGAGCAGAGTCAAACTCAGCTCCTTGCCATCACCAGCCCTGCTCCAGCGGCAAAGCCAGCCACTTGGCCATGCTGCCAGCCTCTGAGCTGTGACTGTGTGACATCTGTAGAACCCAAAGATGGAGAAGGAATATTTCTTAAAGCTTTTCTCTGTCTGCTTCTGCCCACCTGGGAGTCCAGTGTTGATATGTCCATAGCATGATGCTAAGTAGAGCTCTCTGCCATAAGTAGCAGTAAATTATTTGCATGCTTACAGCCTTCTTCCACATAGACCTGACCAAAAGCACAGAATTGCTCCACAGAATTTGCTTCATTCTCTTTTAAATAGCTCTTGTAAAGCCTTGCAGTGGCTGGGTCAGGCTGTGTGTGGCTCAGCCACATATACAGGGCTTGCCAGTTTTGCCTTTTTAGGAGGTTTTCCTGTAAATTCAGTGTCTTCTGTCACTTGTCCCTCATCCTCCATGAAGTCTGTTGCTGCTGAATGCAGAGGGCTATAAACCAACCTGGGTTTGACAACAAAATGTATTCATTTTCCTTGAAGAATTCAGAATGGTAAATTTAACCTCTTAAAAAACAGTTTACCATACTTAATTGTAAACTGGGTTTTCTGATCAAGGAAAAATATTGATAATGTTCTGAAACATTATTTATACTAAATACTACAATTTTGAGTGGGAAGGGACTGTTTGAATTAGGTTCTCATTTGTAAATGAGATGAGTGGTTCTGTCTAAGATGGTGTGAGGAATCCTCTCTTTGGAAATGGCCATCACTTTCAAATTACACATGCCAGACTGAGTTTTGTTGTAGGCCAAAGTGAGTCAGAAGCTCATTCCAGGAGAGCAGATGTCAGCTGGACACATCACCAGACAGAAACTTAAGTCTTGGGTTTTTTTATATTTGTTCGTTCTTAAAACCCTTCCTCTCTTCAAAGCTGGAACTCCCTGTTAAAAAGAATCTGAAAATAATTAGCTCTGGATAAGATCAGGAGAGAAAAGCACTAGTAAGAAATATACAAAATGCAGTCTAATCAAATGAGGTTTTTTACTGAGAAGCTACATTAAATACACCATCTCCCCCACCCTGCAACTCACTATTTGAACTACCTTTCAGTATACAGAGAGGAAAGCTGTGGAGAAAGATGAAGGTTGGGAAGATGTTAGTGTGTGTACATGGTTTCAAACATCCATTAGATCTGGATACATAATTTCTTTTTAATTTCTAAGCATCAGAGCTGCATAAATTGGGCATTACTGGAGGAAGATCCCAGCTGAGTAGTTTTTGAAGTAATCAGTCTATACAATCTGAATCCCTTTTGGAAAAGGCTACCTAGCCACCCAGCTAATTTTCATTTTGCTTCTTCCTTCTCTTTTCATCACCACATGAATTGAAAGTGGAAAACCCCTCTGGTGTGGCAGTGATTAAACTTGTGAGGACAGACCCATAAGCCTGAGAAAGGTCACATACCTTCTGTAATGCAAATAAGTGCCTGCACATCAAAGCTCCATGCTCTTGTAATCCTTTAGCAAAATGTTGAATCTAGCTTCAGGATAAGGTGGATTTCTCCAAGTAGCAGGATTCTCTCTGTATTTTCATAGTCATACTATATGAGACTGGTATCTGCCCTGAGCAGTTCCCCCAGCAGCAGCATCTGCAACACAGGCAGTTGCTCTAGTTCATTAGTAATGAACTAGAAATGTTCATTACAAAATGAGAAGAAGGAACTACTGGAGGGTGGATAACATAGAGGTATGAGGGAGAGGACTTAGCTCTGGACATTGACTCCCTATACCCTCATCTTGTTCTGTTCTTTCCCCTTGTGTTCTAAACTCCCTTTCTTCCTCACATGGTTTGCTTTACGCAGTAAATTCCTCCTTTCTCATTCCATCTTCGTGCAGGGATGAGAGTAACAGAAGTCCAAAACAGGGAAGGGCTGTGTGTGGGAGTGGTCTCAGTCTGTTGCCGGATGCCATCCTGGGTGCCTGACATCCTGAGCAGCCTTGAAGACCTGGTCGAATGCAAAGGTGTCTCACTGAAATGAGACCAAAGAGGAGCAGGACTGGAGAAGGCTTGGAAGTCCCTGAGCTGCAATGGTTGCCTCCATTTTAACAAAGGGAGGACAGTTTCTCCACTCTCAGCATGGCATTGCTTTCCCCGATTTTGCTGTTGCAGGCAATAGACCTAGAGCAGAGGGGAAAGAAAATTGCCCTTCTTGGAACTGTTGCAGCTGTATGACTCTTGGGGTCTCTTCCAGAGCTCTCTTTCCGAGTGTGGATGTGTGGTGGCAGCTTGGAGATTGTTCCGTGCAGTCGAGTGGGACACGTGTTCAGGAAGCGCCATCCCTATGACTTCCCTGAGGGCAACGCGCTGACTTACATCAAGTAGGTGTTGGGTAGTTCCTGGTAACAGCCAGGCCACCTTTGTGTTGGGCATGTCTAAATAAGCCTGAATTCTTTGTTGTGCTTTTCCCTGGTAATGGAGAACAGCTTGTGGCTGAGCATCTGTTCTCAAGGGAAGGATGAGTTGTTGTTTTCTGTGAACAAAACCTGTTCCCTTCTCTGCTGTTTGTGTTTGTGTCTCTTATTCCTTCTCAGCCTCTGGTGAGGGGGGTAGGGAGTAGTATGCCAGAGAGACACCCTGGCCATTCAGAGATGCTGCCCTGTGACATATGTGGGAGTACCAGCAGCCCTTGAACATCTCTGTTGTCTCTGAGCTGTACATGCTCTAAGATAAACCCTGTGGAAAACTCCTACTGCAGGACAGATGGGAAGAGAAAAGAGATGAGATGAAGTACTTGACAATGGAAGTGGTCAAGCACTGCTTCAGGGCCCCAGAGAAGATGGTGAAATCTCCATCATTTCAGATTTCAAAACTCAACCAGTCAAGACCCTGAGCAACATGAAGCTAGTCTGATTAGGGCAGGAGATTAGATGTTAGACACAGCTGTTTTCCCAGTTGAATTATCCCATAATGTTATTCAAATCTGGGAAAAGGGATACTGGAAATGAGTGTGATGGTGACAATCAGGCCCGGTGTCTCTGCAGAGGAAGTATGTCTGAAAAAGTAATGGTAAACTATGGCTAATAAATTTTTAATTTCTGAAGTGTTCTTGCAAGGCTTTGTAGATTTAATCAATCTCTATCCTTCCATACTGCCTACTCGGTTTTGTGTTTGGGGCTGTCCCCCACTACCTCCTAGCAGACAGACCTTGGGTCTGCTTGCAGGGAGGGCAGGTTCTGCAGCATCTGCTCCCCCGTGCAGGAACACCAAGCGCACAGCAGAGGTGTGGATGGATGAGTACAAGCAGCACTACTACGAGGCCCGGCCCTCGGCTATCGGCAAGTCGTTTGGAAGGTAAGCTGCCCCAGACCTTGCTAGGAGGGCTCTGGTAAACCCCTTGGTAGCAAGAAATAGCTTTTAGGTCTTCTCTGGGGCTAAGTGTGAGAAATAGAAGTGCTCTGAATGCTTGCCTTGCCAAGGAGGTTGTAGCTTGAGTGTCTGGCTAATGAGGTTTGCTTCTAATTCACTTAATTTTTTCCCCGGTAACACTGCGTAAGTCATTTGTTAGCAGAAGGCCAGAGGGATCTGTAATGAAATTAAAAGACCAGACATTTGAAGTGGCTAGACAGGAATATTTTTCTATCCGAGCATGCAGCTGTTGTGGAAATGTGAGCTGTATCTAGAGCTTGAGCTGAAGTTCCTGTGCAGATGCAGAATCCCAGGGCAAGCATGACTGGCTAGCACATGGGGCATGTTGCAGTTGGGCACTTCCCACTTTCCTGATGGAGGGAGGGTAGTTTGCCTGGTTTGTAGGGCAGGAGAGAACATGGCTGATGGTAAGATTTAGAAACACAATCTGCAGAATTGTGCTTCTTACAACACCTTTGCTAAAGCTGTTTTCAGGCCACATGGGATTCATTGTTATCACTTAGCAGTTCTCTGTGACCCAGAAATTGGTGATGGACACCAAACCTGGGATGAGAGGAGAGCTTGCTGTCTGTGCTCTCAAACTCCTGTGACTCCCAAATAGTGTAAAAATCCTAGGAGTGCTGCGTTTCTATGGGTTTTATCTGCCTGTGAATAAAAGGCTATTGTTGTATCAGTGTAAGGACTTGGCAAATGTGGTTGTATCTCAAATGTGTAGCTGTTTGCACAGGATAATGATGCATCTCCTACTTATTTGTGACAACCAGGTCACTTTTCTTGCTGTACACTTTGCTTTATTATCATGATACATTACATATGTTCATGAAAATAGCTCTGCCTACCTAATTTATCAGTCCTGGAGCTGACTGCAGCAGCTGGACTGGGGCCACATAGCAAGTAACCCTGCTGCTTGTGAAGGAAACAGACTATTGCATATTGTGTGTGGATATATTGCTCATGTGTTTTAGTGGCAAAATCTGCAGTTCTTGTTTGCCCAGACTTCCTAGTGACTTTACTGGCAGCATTGGCTGAATAAAAGCTGGAGCAGAGCATAAGACTGACTTCAGGCAATTTCCTGCAGTAACAGCTCTGTGAACCTGCATTAAATCTAGATTTTAGGGTGCTAATGCCTTTGACATCATCACTGATAATTGGCCCTAAAATGGACCCTCCTTCCCCTCAATTTTGGTGTGGATATAAAATCTAAGAACGTTCCCCTGAGGTGTGTGGCCTCATGTATATGTACAGTGGCCTCTGTAGGCTGAGAATGCAAAGGTGCCCAGGTACCACTGAAATGCCTTCCCAACACACAAGTGTAGTGTTACAGCTTAAAGACAAGAGTTCTTGGTTTCACTGCTCAGTAGGACTGCTGGAGGGAAATCCTCTTCTTCAGCCAGCTAAAGCCAAACAAATCAGCAGTGGAGGACTGCCGCAGCAGACAGCTACTGAGATGTTGAGTTCATCTCCGCTTTTACTGCCACCTTTTCCCAAAGTGCTTAAGAACAAATCATTAAGTTCTTCAGGTCTCAGTTCTCCAACCTGAGCCTAGACCTTCTGCCGTGTGCTAGAGACATGCTTTAGCACACACAGGTTAATCATCTGTATGTACCTAAGCACAAACTCTTCCTAGGCCTTTTCAGCAGCTGATTGTTGTGCAGGTTTCATGGTATGCCTCTACAGGGGCACCCAGAGGCACAAACACTTTCCTGATCTTACAGCAGTTTTACTGCACTGTATTATTTAACAAGGCAGGACCTGGGCCCTGCCATTGCTCTGAGCCAAAGGAAGTGCAAGAACAGCTCTCTGAAGGTGTTTGTTTTCCATTTCTATTTCCTGCCACTTGCCTCTCTCCTTGTCTTCACCTCAGGTCACTGCTAGTGCTCTGATTCTAGCAACAGTTATGTGGGAGAATGAATAATGTCAAAAAGGAATGTAATTTCCCTCAAACCTCCTGGCCAATCTTCATTGTTCCCCTCCCTCCTGTTCACTGCCTTATTCTCAGCAAACTGCCTGTGTTTCCAGTGTTGCAGACCGAGTGGAGTTGCGTCACAAGCTGAACTGTAAATCTTTCCAGTGGTATCTGGAGAATGTCTACCCGGAGCTCAAGTGAGTCAGTTCTTCGAATGTACAAATCTCTGAGGGACTGGGAGGTGGCTCACAATGGGAACATGAGCCTTGACAGCAGTGGGCAAAAGAGAGATTTATGCTTGGAAAAGGTTTTCTCTGTTCATCTTTTTGGTGAGAAACCTCCTGTGTTTTCCTGGCTTGTATTATCACAGCTCTGCAAAAGGTCTGCCTTCTGTTCTGCCCCACACAGCTGTCCCTTGGAGATGTGCAACCCTGGTGTTTTCAGAGATGTGGGTGCAGAAAAGTGCCAGTGCACTACATCCCTCCCAGTTTTGACTTGGCCTTTGCCCACTGGATGTTCTGTCTGGAAGGAGTTGAGCCAAGTAGAACTGGACAGCCTCAGTGCAGAGGTTTGGGTGGTTCAGAGAAGGGTCTAAGGAATGCCAGAACCAGCTGTCCCTGTGGCTTGCCCTGCCCTGGGTCAGGACACAGTGGTGTTGAGCCCTTGCTCAGCTGGGAGGCAGCCTGGGTACAGCTGTGTTGTTGGCCTGTGCAAACCAGCACACATCTGTACAGCTCAGAAAAGGCAGCACATCTTTGCACCTCAGTCTGTGGCTGTGAGTGGAGGCTGAAACATCCAGCTGTAGTGTGGCCTTGACAGATCTTTCTGCATTCCTACCAATGAGACAAGAATATGTGTTAGCTGGGGAGAAGAGTGAAAAAGGGAGAGGAAGAAGCAAAGCATATCAGTGTGATTGTGGCTTTTTGCTGGAAACAGCCTCTTTCAGAATTTCAGAATCATCACGTTAAACTGCTTAGGGTCCCCTAAAGATCCTGGTGTTCCTTCTGAAACAAAAGCACTAGTCCTCTGACCAAGTTCTCACTTGATTTTTGCCTCCTCCAGATATTTCCAGTGGACAGCATGATATTGTTCATTTTCTGTCAGATATAGGGAACTGTGTTTAGTCAGGGGCCAATTAAGCCCTTATAAATGTAGAAGTACTTTGGTCATTTCTGTGTATGAAGTACCATGCAACTGTCATTTTACTTCAAGGATTCCTGAAAAAGAGTTCATTCCAGGAATAATTAGACAAGGAGGAAGCTGTCTGGAGTCTCAGGCACAGGATACCACAGGGAATGTGTTGGCTGGCATGGGAAACTGTAAAGGGACAGTGAACAATCCACCTGTCACTCAGGTAAGGCAGGCTTCAGTTTGGTGCTTTGCTCCTGCTCCTACCCTTTTAATAACCTGAATGAAGAGGTATCTCTGGCCTTGGTGGGTTGATATGGAGGTGAAGCAATGTGAGGGGATAGAATGGAAGAAAATAAAGATAGTGCAGATGGTAATCTCACCCCTGAGTAGTTGCAGCTGTACTAACTACCCAAGATTAGGAACAGCTGCCCTTAACAGGCCACAGCTGTGACCAGTTAGAAGAAGAGTGCTATAGGAGAGTGGGTTTGCTGCTTGAGAAGGAAGCTGGAGTTTGTTGGCTGTGTTGTGAAGAAGAAGGAGTCAGTGGTGTGAGGAGCTGCCCATGAGAAATCACCAAGAAAGTATGGAACTTCTGCAAATAAGGAGACAACAATTGAACTTTTGCAAATAAGACAACAAAGGAAGGAAGAAATGGACCCTGTAATGGTTTTAGTAGTAAGCAGAAAAAGAAGCCCATCTCTCAGAGCTCTGTTGGCTCAACAGACTCAGCAATCAGGCATAGAATGTGAAGGTTTTCATCTCTCAGGGACAACAGGTGTTTAGATGCTCAGGGAGTGACAGACTCACTGAGAATCATTTTGGGGCTGTGCATGGCTAGTACCCTGGCATGTGGGTATGAGATTTTTTTTGGGATTAGGAACATTCCTTGCTCTGCCAGCTCAGCTGTAGCTGCAGATGACTTGAGTTGTGCTGTACTGCAGATGTGTTCCAGTATAAAGCACAAATAGAGTTTAAATAGTTGACCCCAGTGGCAGTAATGTGGTGCAGTTCTCCTAACTGTAGTGGAGATGTGATGGTGTATACAAGCTGAAGATCTGCACTCAGACTCTCTGTTGGTGACTTGAAGCAGCTTGAGAAAGTTGGGTATTTTATGCCAGAAAATGCATATTCACATCTGTTAACTGTTGGAAACTAGTTTGCAGCCAGCATTCAGTGTGCCTTTTAACCTAACTCACTGCTCTGTGTCATTACCACTTGAAATCTCTGAAACTTACTGCATTTTGTATTTTTTCCTTGGGGAAAGTATAGTAGTAACATTTGATTGGATCAGGTATGCATCTAGTCAGAGGAAGGAAAAAATTAATCAACTTGTCCCTTGTGCATGCTGGTGCTGTATGGATATGTTTGCATGTGTTTTGCTTTGTTTGACAATTGATAGGTCCCAGATACCTGTTAGAGAACGTGTGTGCTGTGTAAAATACGCAGAAGCAGTTGCACATCAGGTGTGTCAGGGCTCGGGATCCTCCTTGCTTTGTAGGCCTGAATCTGTAAAGCTGCAGAGCTGAGAATTGCATGGGACCATGGGTTAATCAGACACCTCAGATAGTGAGGGGAGCCAGCTGCAGGCTTTGAAATGGTGATGATGCACCAAGCCTGAGCATAAACTTCTGATCAGGTGACATCTGCTGTGGGAGTCTTCCCAGGGAGCCTTTTGTAGGAAGAGAACAAAAGATGCAGGGTTTTAAAATATCTGATAGCAAAAGCTCTCTCTCCTTCATCTGTTCGCTGTTGGAATCCTAATGGAACCTTTTTCTTATTCCAAAGGAGTGGATATTCAGTGACCCTTTAATTAGACAGCAGGACAAGTGTCTTTCCATTGCCTCCTTCTCTACTGGTTCTCAAATCACACTGGAAGCTTGCAATCAAAAAGATGGCAGACAGGTAGGTAACTGCACCTCTTCCTGATGCCTTCATTGCCACGTGCCAGTGTACCTGCATCAGTGCAGCCAGCAGGGGCAAACCCAGCACTATCAAGGCACATTCAAGTCCTTCCCCTCTTCTGCATCTCCCTCTCTGGTGTGTTTTGTGAGCTTGGATGCATGACAGAGTGTGTGACCAAGCAGGAGGTGCACGGTGGGTGTGTGCTCTGCCTGGGTCCTTGGCAGCATGGCTGGCTCCAGCTCAGCAGCACCCCAACTTTACTTCTTGGATGAGTTTTTGCGCAGCCAGATTGGTGCATGGATGAAGCATAGCACCAAGGAGAGGTAGGTGAGGCAACTGCTTTGAGATACCTAAGGGGAGAGTGGTGTGTACTATCATTTGCTTATTTAATTTGAAGTGAGATACCTATGTTCTTCTTTGTGCTGTCTTTGGACATGTGAGCAGACCTTTAAAACTGAGTGCATGCATCTCATTTAAGAGATACTGGCTGACATAGAGCACTGTATGTTCCACCTGAACTGCTCCCTAGAGGAAAAATACACAGCAGCAATGTTCCCAACAAAATACAGCTCTTTGACTTATGCTGTTTCCAAGATGTGCATCCCTGATCTGTCAGGATAAATCAATCCTTTTGCCTTGCAACACTAGGTAAAGGATGGCCTCTGCAATGGCTGGGATGCCCTCAACAGAGATGTGATGTGCCTTTTTATCAGAACTGGGCAAAGCACAAAAGGCAGCAACAGAACACAGGTAGACAGCAGATTGGACTTGTTTCACTCCTAGTTCCCATGCTTCCCTCTACACCAAGAGAGAGCATGTTTTCTGTCATCTAAGGCTGTGCTGACTCTGCTTTCTGACTTGTCTGTTGTTTTGATAGCCCAGAGGTAGAAGACAGCTCAGCTTTGACCTGTTCTCAGCAGCATTTTCTTTTTTCAGTACTTTCTAATACTATATGGATCCTTGAAATTAGTTTTTCCTGAAAGAAAACACTGAAATCCAGTCCTGCCCAGTTATGGAAAACCTGTGTAGACTTTCCTCTGGAGGGTTGGTTAATGCAGAAATGCCTTGAAGAGTTGTCACCATGAATACACTGGGAAAACTCTGAGTTTGGATTAATCTGCAAGGGTATCCCAGGTGGGCTGTGCTTGCCTGCTCCTTTTTCTTGTTGGCAATCACTCATCCCATTGCTGTGTAATTAGGTCACTTAGTTTCTCCTTATGTGCCTCGCAGTATTTTCCTCCCTGGCAGCAGAGAGAACTTCAGCAGCTGCCAAAATCAGCTGTCTTTCCCTGCTTCCTCTGTCACGGAAGGACAAGGGTCCCTCAAGGAGGGTGGAGTCCAGGCTGCATCAGAAGCCAGAAGAGAGATTAATCCACAGTAACACAAGCAGGCTTATTCTGCTGCTGGAATAGGATTTATTGAGTCTTGATATGTTGATTATATACAGGCTCATTAAAAAGACATACACACACTTAAGAATGTGAGCTGTTGTTTTCCATTACCTTATGTGAGCAAACTACTCTTACACCAAGGACTTGACCTAGCAGATGATTTAACCAACTGACTCTAAGCAAGGATTTGCTTAAGCATTTGAAATAATTAGAGACTGATTTGAATTGCAGATGCCATTCTAAACTGCCTTGCAGCTTAGGATATGGATAAGGTGGGGTGAAGTGGGAGAAATGTATTTGAATTTTTAATGTAATTTGGGTTTAAATGCTCTTAAACATTGGGGTCGTTTTTGTAGTCCCAAACTCCCATCTCAGATTTCTGCTTATAAAGCCAATTCTACTTGCAATGTTCAAGTTTGTTGTGTTCCTAGGGAATGTTGTTATGGTTCTTTGCTTCCATAAACACAACAGTAATTGTTGTTAACACTGACATTAGTTTTTAATTAGCTAGAAGTCAGTCATCTTGTAAACTATTCCATTCTCTCTCCTCCTGATATTTGAGAGGTTGATTTCCAAGAAAGAGCAAAGCTGGAAGGAACAAATTCCCTCAGTTGCCCTACAGCTTGCCTTGCCTCCCCATGGATAGTCACAGCCCAATGTGAAAGTGCTGGGGGAGAGCAGTGCTTCCAAACTGTACATGAGTGTACCCACTTCTCAGTTCAAGTGGGCTTGTCAGAAAGTCACAGGAGCTGAATGGAGAGTGGAGGGAGGGCAGCTGAGCTGCTTTGCAGAGCTGGAAATGCCAAGCGGGAGCCCTGAGTACGTGATGTGGTCTGAGTGGAGGAGGGTGAGCGTGGGCAGCCTGCATCACACACATCACATGTACAGTGTCCTAAGTAATGGAAGTCCAGCTTTGAACATCTTTCCTGTCACTGTCTTCAGAGACCTGTGGTGAATGATGTTTGGATTTGTCTGGATGTAGATTTCGTGTCTGTGTCTGAGTCATGTAAAAGCAGCATTTCTGACAAAAGATGGTGTATGTGGTAGCTTTGGTTTTTAGTGTCTCGGGAGTAGATGGGTTAGATCATTATGGCAGCACCACACGACTCCTAAAGTTGGTTTCTGCTTTCAAGCATGCTGAAACTGTGCCCATGCTACACAGCTGTTCTGCATTAAGCATGTCCCAAGGACAGATATTTTTTGTTTATTTTGAGGGCTAAAATCAGTCCATCTGACAAATAGGTAATACTCTAGCAGAGGCTTTAGAATATTGTGATTTGTGGTTAGAGTATTACCTCAAAATAAATCTAGAATTTTGCAAGCAGGAGGATATGAGACAATAGTCACACTTCAGATGATTTTTGATGCTGTCAGACTCCCTTGGGTTGAAAGAAACCAGAAATGAAATCTATTTGGCAACACGATCCTGTTGATCATTCAACAGCAACAGCTGGCACTGCTAGCAGAAGACCAGCCAAAAGCTATTCTGCATAATCAGAAGTAGATTTCAAAGCAGATGGATGTTATCCATAATGTTATTTGGAGAATAGCGTTTTTAGTTGAACGCACAATAAATTATTGCCTTCAGCTTTGTTTTTTGGCTCTGACTAACAGTAGGAGTGGTGTTTTAATTTGTGTTATAGTGAGGACAAATAGAAGGCAAAGCGAGAGTCAGACCCTAAAACAAGAGAATGAAAATGAGAAACATTGGCACAATATTTCCCAACAGAAAAAGAAATGCTGAGAAATCCTATTAAACAGCTATATTTCATTAAAATGTTCTGAAGGAATGTGACCTCAGCCTGAAAATGAAGACACTGAGTGTTCTTGTGAGACAAACACTACTTGAAATCCTCTGTCCCTTTGTATGCCATTGGGAAATTTTTCCCACTTCTCAGTGAGTACTCAGTGAGTATTACCTGAGGATGAATGCAACTTTAATATGGAGTATCTGAAAAGAAAAGGAGAGAGAGCCTGTCTGTCTTGAAAGCACCTGACTCAGCACCTTCATGACAATAAGTAGGTAAAACAATACTGGCAATATGCCATACCTTGAAAGTAGTTTTCAGGAGACAAAAGTTTCTCTTAGTTGTGATTTAGTTTTACAAATTTAAGTGCTCAAAGGAAGACAGTACTTGCTGGATGCTATGTGAGCTTTTCCATCTTCTGTCTCTGCTCATATATTTAAAATTTAGGACCAGTTTCAGGCTGCCCATGGCTCTGCAAATACACTCAATTACAACTTACAACATCCTTGGCCACTCCAGTTATCAGCTCTCCATACATTTCTGTTTGAAGCGTCTCAGTTCTCATGAACAAAATTTGCTTTTCTCAGCTGTGCCTCCTGAGCTTGGCCAATTCCATTGTTTCACAATTAGGATTTTGAGAGAAACCCTGCACTGCCTGGATTACTGGGGGTTAAAAGAAAACTTTTGATTGCCCTAAAAAATTAGACTAGTGCAAACCATTTCAGCTCTTGTGGATAGAAGAAGAGTGTCTATTTGTGACTTTTCTCTTAGTTATTGCATGTGGAATGCTTCTATCCAACCACCTAAAACTCATTTGAAATGATAGATGAAAAAGAGGGAGAGAGAGATTCGCAAAAAAAAGTGGGGAAAATTTTGAGTTGACACTGGGGAAGAGGATCAAGACACAATATTTCAAAGAAAAAATTGATTCTTTTTTTTCTTTCTCCATCTTCACTCCAAACCTACTCTGACCAGTAAACTATACTATCTCCATTTGTACAAGAAAGAAAGGGAGACCAAAGAGGATTTTCAAGCCAAAATTTCTCAGATTGTGCAATCTTCCAAAAGCTTTCCTTCCATGTACAGTCTGGTTATAATGTCTGGGTGTAGGAGAAGAGAGGACTCCCTGTAATATGTATGCAGGAGGTGTCTATCCTGTTTATGTTTTTGCTAAAGATGGTCATTACTGCTGTCATTTAAAACTTACCAGTCCAGGCTTCCCTTGTGGTCTGTGGAGAAAGCTGGGCCCTCCCAGAAGGGGTTTGTACCTTGGAACCCTCCATAAGTACATCACCAGGCAACTAGTTTAGACTAAATTGCTCCTTTCTGAGGTGGCTGACAGTGGGAGATGAGTGTCCTCTCTTCTGTTCCCATCCCTTCCTGCTGCCTGCCCCACTGAGAGCTCTGAGATATGATGTGTCCCTGCAGGGCAGGATGCTGGGCTGTCTTTGATAGTCTTGTGGTCTGCAGTCAGGCCTCGTGAAAGGTTCAGGTGAAGTCAGGGAAGTTGCTTTGGTATCTCATGAAGGGCAGAAAAGCAGAGTGTCTGATCAGAATAGGTAAAATTTGTCATTCTGAAAATAGCCCATGCATTTGAGATGAGGAGCCCTACTTTGGCTTTTACTGTTAGTATGCTTTATAACAGCTACATACCTGGCACCTCCCTACAGCCCAGATGAGCCTCACCTTCAGCTCTCACCTTCTCTCCTCCTTCCCTTCCCCATCTTTGCCCCACTTTACTTTGAAGAGAATGATCTGGGGTGACTTGATGTGCTGGGCTTTCCAGTGGTGTGACTCACTGAGAAGCTGATTGGCTTTGTCAGCAGCAGATGTGCTCTGGGGAGTGTTTGCTGTGTCCTGCTGAGCCTGTTGCTGCAGATCCCCCCTACAGATCTCACAGTGGGTACCTGCTCAGCATGGATGGGTGCCACAGCAGCAGGTCTCTCATCTGAAGGAATAACATGAGCAAGCCTCCAGTGGTGCTAGATTTCTCCTGAACAGGGAGGGGGAAGAAAAAAATCAATGTCTCTTGGTAATTGGCCTTGTCCTCCATCTCAAATCTCAGCACATTCTTTTCCAGCAGGGTCTTTGGTGAGCTGTGGGGTGTGTGGGAGGGGCAGCTGGCAGGCTTCCTCTCACACATGCACAGCAGAACACAGAGGGCGAGAATTCACAAATACAGGGAGGCAGTGGGAGAGTGGAGGGCAAGGAAGGGAAGTAGGTGTGCTTTGGAGAAAGTCAAAAGGCTCTTCAGTGGGGTGTCTGTGACAATGGGAGATGCTGGTGGGGAGGCTGTCGTGCAGCAATGGCACCAGCCAGGCACAGAGCGCAGCTTGCCAGGGGACCAGACCCCCTCCCTTGCACTCCATCATTACAGCTGCTGCTTTATGATATTAACTCTTCCTCAGCTCTTTGTAGGGAGGCTTCTGCCAGATGGGAGCCAGATGGCTCTGGGACCTGTGTAGGCAGTGAGTTGCAGCAGCTGGTGAGGGCATTGTAGTGCAAAGACTGCATTGTATCTTCCTGTCCATCATCACTGCATTCCTCTGCCCCCTTCTCCGTTAAAACCAGCTTCTTCCTGCTGCACAAACATCTCTCCTTTAGTGTTGTCCTGTCAGACAGGGCTAGCAATGCTGCAAATTGATGCTGCCTCTGGTATTTAGACTTGATGAAATATGTGATACAGGAGCAACAGATTCCTCTGGGCTTTGCAGCTGCCCTGCCCTCCAAGACACATTACAGCTGCCAGCAACATGTGAACATAACTGAATACCTTAAACCACTCCGCATGTGGCAGTCCTTTTGCTATGCTACCCAAGAATTAAAATGTTTGTAGGTTTTGACATTGTCCAGATATTGCAGGAAACTCTAAAATTCCCTTTGCATATCTTTTCTGCAATACTCTTGCAATATGAGGGCCATCATATTGTCAAACTGTTTCTTTTTCTTCATCGGTCTCATGACTTAGCCAAAACATCTTCATAATATACCTAAGCTCTTTACTGACTGAGCACCCAGACCACAATTCTTACTGGGTCATCTGTGTGACTGAAAAGAATAAAGGGAAAATCCCTGGAGCCTGGACCCTGGACCCCTCAATCTTCTCAACCACTTGAGCTCAGCTGTGCCCCACTGGAGATGAATGACACTGCCTCATCTGGGAGATTCCAAATCCACAGATTCATTTCTACTTTTCATTATCAGCCACAGTGTTCCCAGGTTTGGGGATTTTTTTCCAGCAGGGATGGAAGGTACAGTCCATTCCCAGCAGAATTTTAAATTCAAGGTTAGGATATATTTTTGTTTCCTGGTAAGTAGCATGACCAAAGTGGACCTTCAGGAAAGGGTTCTGTATGAGACCTTTTGAACGTGATGAAAGAAGAGATGAGGGAACAATGGATAAGAGAGAGATCCAGTCAAACATTAGGAAGTGTGATTTTTGCTTTGTATGGACAGGTTGCTTTCAGTGTTGGGAGACCTGTCAGTGCTTTGCTTGCCATGGATTGGAAAGCAACCATAGGAAGGTTTCAAGTTTTGGCAGGTATCTGGGTGCCCAGGACAGAGAACGACCCAGAAACTGTGACTACAATATGCTTTGAAAATGCCGTTACTTGCTGATTTTTTGTGTTGATAGCATTGCACAATCATAGAATACGCTGGGTTGGAAGAGACCTATCTGGATCACCAAGTCCAATTCCTGGCCTTCACACGACACTCCAAGAGTCACATCCTGTGCCTGGGAGCATTGTCCATGTGCCTCTTGAATTCAGCCCAGGCTTGGTGCTGTGACCACTACTGTTATTTGCTTTCCAGATGCTTCTGAGTATCCAGCCCTGTGACTCAGCTAAACCCTAACCCTACCTAACTGCAGGTATCATTAGTACAGGAATCCAGTGATTTAGAGATGCTGCCCCATGCCCAGATTTTCATTTTCACCAGCTGTTGGAATTTACTTGAGATTACCCTCAATTTGAAGTCACAGTTCTGTAGGGAAATGGAAGAAGTAACATCCTGTTTTTTCTGTGTCTTCTCACAGAAGTGGAAGATGAAAGGCAGCTTCATTCAACACTTTGTCAGCGGTCTCTGCCTGGAAAACCAGACTGGAAGAGTGGTGACCAACCCCTGTCAAGCAGGTGTACCTGGCCAACAGTGGGAGCTGCTACAAGCAACATGATGGTAGCACAGAGATCTCCTTGTTTCTTTGTGCATGAGACTTTGGGAGCAGAGGGGGATCAGGAAGGGAGGAATGGTTTTGTGTGTCTGACCCTAAATGTTTTCATTGTGCTCATCAGTAAGCCACCACTTCAGCTGAGCACTTGATGTTTTTGAGCTTTCCAGAGAAGAAGAGGGGGATGAAAGGAATCGGGACAGTTGTCAAAATCTTCCCAACTGTTGTCTTAAGTTCTCCTTTGTAGCTAATGCCTGTGCACAGCTGCACCTAGAGATGGAGGAGGACCCAGCCCAATACTTGCAGCTCTCCCCATCCTTTCCTTTCTCTGCATCCAGAGTCCACAACCTTCAGTCCAGCAGCTGAGGCTGTGCTTGTACAAACCCGGGTAGCTCTTTGGCTTCCCTGGCTTTTTGCTCTAACATCATGCATCATTTATGCATATGTCTCTCAGTGAAGACTGGCCAGAAGCATCATCATGATCAGTGGAGAGGTTGGGAAGGAGCTAGCAGATCCTGGGGGCAGATTTGTCACCTCTTTTTGGTGGGTTCATTCCTTCCTCTGCCCACAGAAGCTGCCCTACAGCCGAATGTGCTGAGGTTGGGCAGTGCTGACAAGAGAGACTGAAAAGGGACAGTCTGTTTTACCAGCCTAACCAGGGATTGTTTCAGGGACTATTCCCTGTTGAAGTCTTCCTTCCAGCTTTTTTATATGTGGAAGGCCAGCCCTGCCTTCAAGAGCGGCCCAATCCTGCAGGTTCAGTGTACCATGCCCTGATGGAGCCAGTCAGAGACAGGTGCCAGCACTTGGGGACGTTAGGGGAGCTGGGGCTGTTCTCTGGCTGCTCTTCCTGGTGCTACCAGCCACTGCCCACTGCAGCCCACACCAAAGGTGGTGCACAGAGCTGTGTGGGCAGCACACAGAGACAGAGGTGCTGCACGTGGCTCAGGCTGTGGCAGGAGCCCACCCAGATCCCCACTGTGACAGACAGAAGGGGACAACCCCTAGGTCATAGCAGACTTCTTGCTGCTGGCTGGGCAGGGCCACAGTTCTCATGCTTGTCTCTCCAGCTCTGCATAGCCCCTGTGAACAGAGCCTGGCATGACAAACCACCCACTCCCTTGTCTAGTTGCTTTTCCTTTTCTCTTTGAGAAAGGTGAGTCAAAAGTATGGGACTGCTCTACTTTTGACACCCCTCTCACTTCCCAGTGAGCACCTTGGGGAGAGGTTAGCTGGTGAAGCTGAAACTGCCCTCTGCACAAATGCTGCCTGTGTAGGCCTGCCCTGAAGAGGCTCCTTTGTGTTCTGGAAATACCAAAGACACTGGTGGTGGTCTCTAGCTAGCATCCCAATCCTGCTCCCAGTTACCAGTCAGCTCTAGCCACATGTGGGTTTTCAAACCTGCCAAGGGATGCTTATGTATTCAAATAAAGTCCCCACAAGTTTACCTTCTCCTAACTAGATCTGTTAAATTTTCCTTTTGAGATAGATTTTGTAAACCAACCCTCCTTTCCAAGAACCTGACAGGGGAACCAGATGGTGGGACCATCTTCATTAGGCAATTGTTTGCCTGGATCCTTTCTGATCTGTGTGGAAGAAACAGGTTGTGCATTTGGGTTCCGAACAGCTGGTTTTTTTAAATCAAGTTTGTATCTCTTTTTAATTCTTTCTCTAGCTTGGTATTAGCCCAAACAGTTGACAAAAGAACAGATAATGTTCTTCATACATTGCATGTGCTTAGTGTGAAAACTGGACAATGTTTTTTGTTCTTGGTTTAAAAAAATGAAATCCATCATGTGGCAGGAGCTCTTGTCCTGTCTCCCCCTTCACTTTGATATCAGATCCCCATCTCGGCCCTGATTAGCCCAAAGACTGACCTGCCTGCACTGTGAAAACTCACAAGGGAGCTCCTTTTGATCCTTACAGAATGGTGCAGCTGCTCTTCTCTGTGGAAATGAGGGCATTGACTCTGCAGTGATTTCTCTTTCCCTGTATAGAGGTGCTTTGGGCCAGAACCACTGAGGTCAGGAGAGGGCAGAGAAGGAAGGAAAATAGCCTAGGAATGGAATGAGAGCAGGCCAGACAGACCCACTGAGGGCAGAGATGCCATCCTATTAGCTACTGTGTTTTTAAACAAGAATATACAGGAGATGGTCTTTTCAGAATAGTATCATTATGCAGTAGGAGACAGGAACAGTCAAGTTCTTACTTACCTGTCTTGAAAAATATTGATGCAAAGACAGATGAAGGGCCACTGAGCAGGTGCTGTTTGTAAGCTCTGTATACAATGAAGTGTGAAAGGTTAGATGTTTTCATCAAAACACAGCCTAAGTGGAACACCTGCCCTCTCCACATTTCACTCTCCAGCAGCTTATGTGTTGCAGCTAACAGCATGTTCACTCCTCTACCAGGTACTGCCTCCTTCCTCCCTGCTCCCACCGTGTGTGTGCAGCTTTCTTCCAGTTCCTCCTTCATAACCACTCTGGGACCAGGACCCAGCTCCTCTACAAACAATGCTCCTGACTGCTGCAAACCACAGAAACTCTGCTTGTTTACAGTCTCCAAGCTCTGGGCCAGCCCCAATTCAAAGGGCTCTTGTCAGCACAGTGACTGCTGCCCTTGACTGTGTGTTTGGCCCCCGTGCTGGAGGCTGCTGGCTGCTCCTGGGGCACACACACCTGGACTGGCTGTGTTGATTTGTGCCTCTCTTCCTCCTGCTCTCCTGGCAGAGTGTGAACTGGCATCCTTTTGGGCTGTAAGCTGGGGCTGCTGAAGATGGGACACTCCTTCAGGTGCTGTGGTCTGGGGGAGGAAAGGGCAAAGGTGGACGTGTGCTAGATATCAGTAACTCAAATTGCTTGTGCAGTTTGGAGCTTCATTTTTTCATTCTACCTGGTTTTGGACATGTTCACCTGAGGTCACCTCCCAACTGCTCACTCTTCTGTCAGCTAAAGCATTGCTTTAGCCCAACTCAGACCTCCTCACACATCATCTTTTGGAAGCTGTTTGTTTCCAATGCATTGCAGCAGTTGCTGAAAAGGAGGTACATTACAAAAGGCTGCTGTCAAGTGTGGGCAAACTGAACAACTTCTTGGAATAAACAAAGTCTGGTTCAAACTCAGTATTAGCATACTCTACATTTCCCTTGCACTGAAAGGAAGGAAGAACAATGTTATCTCTACTTTTTTCCCCAAGGTCCACCCAGTGCCATGTTTTGTAACAGGTGTCAGGATTTCTCCAAGCAAACTGACTGTTTGTAACAGTCAGACCAAGCAGCTGCTCACCCTTGTTTTCCTGTTTACTTTAAACAGCCCCCTAGACTGTCAAGACAGAGAATTTGCATTGGTAATACCCTAAAAAGAAAGCTGTTACTGTATCAGAGCATCCAATGTAATTTCCTGTGCTGTGGACCAATGGGAGTTTATTTAAGAGGAGCTGAATCTACTGTTGTACAGAAATCGGATTCAAAAGGTTTATTTTTCCCACTCACTTGTAAGTTGCACTTTGCCAGATGTAATTTATGTGGAACCCAGATTAGTTTTCCTTTTTCTTCAAAAAAAGCATGTGCCAGAATCTGTTTAATGCCTGGAATAAAATCCATTTTGAAATAAGTGTTTCAGCCCGTTCTTATTCCCGTTTTCTTTCTCTGCTGGAGAAGAGCATCCTTTCTTGCCTGGTCCCCTCCTCTGTCTCTCACTGGGGTTGTTCCCAGATGCACATACTCCAGTTCTCTGCATGGGTTTGTGGGCTGCCTCAGGGGGGAAGCTGCTGCAGCAGCCAGAGATGCTACTAGGATACAGGGGTGTGCCAGCTGAAAAGGACTGGAATAGTCCTTCTCAGCTGGGTAGGGAGACAGGTATCCTTCCTGGCAGTTAATGGGCTGACTTTCATGCTGAAAGAAATAGCTGGGGGTTGTGGGGAATTAATTCTTCCTGTTAATCCCTCCTCGATATTTTCCTTAAGCTCGCAGCCTGCCTATTTTTTATATAAGCCTCCCAAAGACCTTTCTTCTGCTTCTGGCTTGAGGGCAAAGAAGCATTACCACCCACAGATGTTTCCTAGCATGTGCATTGCTGAGCTTCAAATATTGTGACTCCCCAAAGAGGCTGGTAAGCTTTTCTAACCTCATATTATTTAAAAGAAAAAGAGAGGGCAAAAAGAAAAAGAGATAGAAGGGAAAAAAAAGAGAGGGTAAAAAAATGAGAGAGAAAAGAAAGTCTAGCCAGCCAATTTGGAGACTGAGTTTAAAATTAGGGCTTAACAGCCTGCCAGTTCACCTGGCAGAGGCTTTTTCAAATTAGGATCAGCTGGGTCTGACAGTACAGAAAGCAGCTGTGCCAGAACATCTGTCTGAGGAAGGAGGGTGAAGGTATTCTGGAAATTAGCTGGTGTGTGGGGAACCACTGCTTATCCATGCTGATGTTTGAGTGCTGTGGGAGCTCAATAAAAAGGAGAAGAGTTGGGGCTTTCTCTCTAGTGTTGCTCTTGTAGCAGCAGATATTTGGGCTGTGTCCCTGGAGCCCTGCCCTGCAAGCCCTGAGTGATGACCACCAAAGTGCCCTGGAAACCAGGAGATTCCCAGGCTGTAGTGATGGCTGGGGAGACTTCTTTAGTCCTGCCTAGGAAAATTATAGGGTTTTGATCTTCTGAAGAGCCAGGCTGGGGGTGTTGGGAGGGAAGGAGAAATGGGTGAGGGGTGCGTTACCCTCTGAGGAGGATAGGGTCAAACATTCAGTGGTCTGACACAGAAAGTACAGAAGAGTTTGGAGTAGAAACAGGTGCCTCAAAAGCGACTAGAACATCATGTGGGAAGAATTATACGGGAGTAATTTTTCTGTTGGAGGCTGAAAACCTAGAACACCACATCCACAGCAATCATACAGCTGGGTCAAATGCAGGAGATGCTTTAGGTAAAAAGGAAAATCAAGTGTTGTTTGGATTTGTTGTTTTTTTTGTTGGGTTTTTTAAAATACTCAAATACTTTATTTGGAGCTCACAAAGCAGATTGTTTTCTTAGAAATAGAGGTATTCTTCAGGCTACATTCAGTAACAAATCTAGATGCTAAGAGACCATCTTTTTCTGCAATTTGTTAAAAGGTATTTGCTTGATACAGAGACATGGGAATGTCTCTTAATTCTCAAGACCCTCTGCTGTTGGGCTGCAGGGTGTGTGGAAGGGGATATCTCTAGCCCTCTAACTGGACTTCTTCAGCATTTTAGAAGTACATTCTAAGTTCAGAAGCATCTGGAAACCTGACTGGTGCTGTTCCCTCAGGCAAGCATCCTAACATATTCCCTGCATCCTTTTGCTCTTGGTCTCTGCTGCTTGGTGAGTGTTCAGACAGAGGCTGAAGAGCTCCTGTATCCCTCTCTTCTAGAGGGCCTAAGATTCATTCCTTCATCATGACTTGTGAGAACTTTAAACAGAAGCAGAGAAGCCCTGCAGAACTGCAAATATTGAAATTAGATGTTTAGATCTACCTGAAACAAAACTTGTTTTCAATGTGTTTGTTTAGCTTCTATAGTAGCAAAAAATCAGCAGTACAGTGCCCTATGAAAATAAGCAGCATGCTGGGCTTCTGGCTCTGCTTCTCCAGTGGAGAACTCTGTGCCCATGTGTGGACAGGAGGCATTGCCTTTCCATCACTCTCCCAGGTGGGGTGCAAGGTAGCAGCCATTCCCATTTAAGGGCTTTGTTTCTGTAAGGTGTTTTGCAAACAGCTGTGATATAGTCTAGAGCTGTGTTGAAAAATGTGTCTTTGCTGCAGCATGTTGCAAAGGAGCCACTGGGCAAGGGAAGCCTGGGGACATGAGGGAAGTGAACAACCTTTTGGTTTTTTGACTGATCTGCATCTGTTTGAGAAATACTGCTTAAATCTCTCCAGTGACTGACCAGTAATTAAAACCAGGCTAGAACAAGGTAGTATTTCTGTGCTGAAAATGACACTGGTTAAGTGTTCAGACTTGCCTTATTTTGAAACATTCCATCTGAATGGAAATAGCAACTTCTGCTTGACTTATTGATGAAATTTGTGCTTTACAAATCTGAGTCGTTGAAATAAATTCAGTTTCATCTGTACTGCATGGTGGGAAAAAACAAGAATGAGAGCAAAGATAACAAAATAATCCACTTGGGACAAAATTGTGTTTTGAATGAGATTTTGGTGGAAACCAGCTTCTCTCTCTTCGATTTCCATGGAAACTAGTACAGCTTACCATTGCCTGCAGCGGAGCTGAGCTTGGCAGTAACAGCAGCAGTGTGCTGGCTGATGAGCTGGCCAGTGCCTGGGGAAGGCACAAATTCATGAGCATTAAATGAACAAAATGGGTTCACTGACCCAAAAGGCCACCCATGAATCCCTCTGCACTTCCAGGTCTGTCTACTTTCTTTTTCCAATGGCTCTTCTCCCTGTTTTTTTTTGTTCAAGAGCTCAGGGCTGCTTTGCCTTTCCCCATCCCAGTCTCAACTGATGGGTGGATTTCAGTGTGCCCTGCTCAAGCAGCCTGGTCTCCTTGTGAGCACGGTGGCTGTTACCTGCCAGAGTGATCGTGAGCATTCCAGGCTTCATCCCAGCTCTTGAGGTCCCTTTTCACCTCCTGCCTTGGCATTTCTTGTCATTGCCCCTTGGGGCTGCCACGGGGTCTCCTGGTGGTTGTTTGGTTCTGACCTGTGGACCTGCTGCTCTCTGCTATTGGCTTCCCTTCAGCAGCTGGGTACCAGAACTGGCCCTGCAGCAAAGCTGCACTTTGGAAGTGCCCACAGCAGTTTCAAAGAGGGACACCTGCATACAAAGTGCAGAGAACAGTTTATTTGAAGAGATGATGTATTTTATAGGTCACCAAAGTTTGTGTGAATTTTTTACCCACCAAAACACCTTGTTTCCCAGTCCTCCCAACATATAATGAGGGCAAACCAGAAATCATGTCAATGCTGGTGTGTTTTGAAGGAGATGGCTGGCATTTCACCCCTGCTGAAGACATGCAGTGTTGTTCCCAGGGCTGTGGGAAGCAGAAAAGCAGTGGACAGGGAAGTGCTGAAGTAGGTAAGTGCTGAGCTGTGTTTAGGCTAAATCACTCAGGGAGTGAAAGCTGATGATGTGTCAGCCTGTTGATGAAAATGGAGAATTAAATATGCAACAGGTGTGGCAAAGTCTAAAAACGTACCAAAGGGTCTTCTGCTTGGGGTGGAATTACGGTGGGAATGATCAAGCTGGTTCTTTCCCAGCTCCTCTCAGAGTTTCAGTGCAGATTGTTCAATCTCTCAATTTTATCTCTCCGAAACGGTTCTTTAACTGGAGGCTGCGTGTCGTAATGCTGTTTACTAGGACAATGATGTCAAAGTCCCTCTAATTGCCCCAAGATGAAGTGTCTCCTCTGCTTTCTTTCTGAGGAGATGAAAGCAATGTTCAAAGAGACCCACTTGGTACCTGAGCATTTTTCAAGGCAATCAACTTTTCCAAGCTCTTTTCCCCCAAAGCAATCTAAATGCTAAATAGATCTTTAAAATAATTACCATATCTAAGACGAGGAGCCATTTTCCCCTGCAAACACCTGATGCTCATTAGCAACATTTAACGTGTCACACATCACCTCTGCTTACTCTAAACTTTAATGGCAGGAGTTTGTCAGATATCTGCAAGGACTGAGCTCATGCTGAAGAGTCGGAGAAAGCTCTAGAGCACAAATCCTCTGTCCTGAGAGGGAAGAGGTCTGTATCTCTTCTCTTCTCTTCTCTTCTCTTCTCTTCTCTTCTCTTCTCTTCTCTTCTCTTCTCTTTTCTCTTCCACTTCTCTTCTCTTCCACTTCTCCCCTCCCAGTTTCATGTTGATCTTGTTGAAAATAAATAGTGCCATGACCTACAGCAGCCTGGCACCCGTGTAAGCCAGGTACCCAAATCAGAGCTGAGCTTAGCCCGAGGCAGCAGGGTTTTAGAAAAGTTGGCTTCTACCTGTCTTTGCAGCTTCTCTTTCCCACATTAGACCAGGATACAGCTGGGTCACTGGTGGGTGTACTTGCAGCATCCCAGAGCCCTTGGCAGGCCCAGCACTGCCAGCACAGCTGGAGCCCCTTTGCCCAGGGACATCTGTAGCACCTGCTGAACTGTGAATCCCCCAGGGCTGCCACAAGGCTCGTGCAGTGGCTTTCCTGCTAGGGAAATCCATAGGAGGGGGCTGCTCACTCTACCTCATGTGGCTGGCAGGAATCACCCCCACCCTTGTACCAATGCAGTGTACCAGAACAGGAACAGACTCTTTGGGAAACTGGGGTTTCCCAAGGTGGAGCTGTTCTTAGCTCTGCCTGCTAAAGCTCTTCTACTTTGGACTTACTGTGATAATAAAGCTTGGTTTGAATAAAGGATATATGTTTCTAACCTAGTGGTTGAAGAGCTTTCAGTCTCTGGAGCAAAGCTTGGAGCCCAAGATAACTTCAGGAATTACTTTGCATTTTTATTCAGCAACTATTTAATTTCAATCTCATAAACAGCCTTTGGAACAGTGCCTGGAATGAAAGACCTTCCTGTAAATATCCCAGCTGCTACTAGAAAACTATAATTACTTCCCCTCTGGTGCA